GTGGGAAATGACCCTTCATTAAAAGGATGACACATGTATTGAACAAAACATGTACTTGTCCCAAGGTTCCTCCATGTTCTCAGGTCCTGTGAGACACCTCGACCCTCGACCTTTGATGACCCTTGTTTGTTCGTCTTTTAAGCTGGATCGATGCGGGACGCGTGCGTCGACGAGGCGCTGTACGCGCCGAAGAAGGTCAAGGCGTAGAGCACGGCGCCTGGGACATGCTGATGCCGATCGTCGACCGCGAAGGGGTTCAAGAATGGCTGACTGGTGCGACTCGCAGGGAATGAGGCTGGCTGGATCCAATAGAATCTCTATTGGAGGCTCATTCCCTTAACTTATTCCCTACTAAGCACCAGTCAGATGGGCGCTCCTTGTCTTTTTTGAATAGCTATCCTGGCGGTGCTCCAGAAGCTTTCGGTAACCACCTGCAACTGTATACAATACTGTTTGGTTTCTTCTTCATCTTCTTGTAAAATCTCCTGACATGCGGGTTAGATTGAGTGTGGGACACGTAACTCAAGTAAACTGTTGGAACACATTTCAACGCGACCGCATGAGAACAGGCCTGAATGGATCTTCTGAGAGAATGGAACTTTTACGCTGATTTAAATAAGGACAATCGTCCTCCACAAAATGAATGTCCACTTCCATGTTTGTTGCAGGGAGGGTCACTCAAACACCTTTTTGCATCTGCCAGGGCCATCGGACGATCACAGGGGCAAACAAAAATCCAGGCCGCAAGCTCCCAGCAATTTGCTTGTTTACTTGCATCTTTCTTACAGTTTGGATTGCGAATGCCTGAGCTCTTTCCCAACTTATGACCCTTGGGCACTTGGGAATCCCGTCCTTTCACACCCAACAGCGGCCAATCGCTGTGGAATCGTCCATCGAGAAGTTGACCCTGCCAGTCGGCACCTGTTCTCAAGTGGAATTATGCCACCACCCTGGCCCCTTCCCCTTCAAGAACCATGGACATGGGGAAAAGAAAACATGGAAAAGCACTTGTTCATATTTGCTCAATTTGTGTCGATGTTCCTATGCGTTATGCGTTCATCTTCTACCTGTCCTACCAGCAAGGCTCAGAACATGATCAGTCTATGCTATTCCATGCTCCTATCAGCTGCTCCTAGCATCTTCCTGCTCTTCCCAAGCTGGGCGGACTCAGAGCTAGGACTCCCAGCTGCCAAAGCAGCCATATGCTGCGTCCCCTAGCGGCTCTGGTGCAGGTGTGGACGGCTTTCTGGACGAGATCATTCAACGAGCGCATGGTGACAAGAGGGCTCAAATAGGCATGTATGAGGACTGGAATAGGGTTCTTACAACACCAATGCGTGATGGTTATCAACAGAATTGATGTGCTTGCTGAGATGTGGCTTTCCGGCGGTTTCGGAGGTCAAGTGGGTGAGATCTTTTGCCCAGGGCTCTTTGATGTTGGTACTCTCTTGAGCCACTTCTTTGGGATGGGTGAACACGGCCATGAGAAGAGGAACCACGAAACATCGGAGGTCGGTCTCGGTCAAATCACTCGTTCCCCCAGCGTTTTCATCTTGCCATACCCAAACACGACCCATGGGACTGGAATATATGCAGCCCCATTGACCCCTGCTGGCACCACCCCAACTGATCGGCAAATATGGCAGTCCCCTGGAGTGTTTGGGATATGTCAAAGGTCGGTCTCTGCAACCATGGCGGCGGTGCTCTTGACGTCGGCTTCCAGCTCAATCATTGAAGAGCCCTGCGAGCCCGGCGCCGGCAGGGCGGTCGGGGTTGGGAACCGGATTGGCGTTCAGAAGAGGACGGAGCCGGACATGAGTCTTTACAAAGGCTTCTAAGCAATCTATGATTTTCAGCTTGAAATCCTTGTATAGATCACCTATCGGGGTTCGTGCCATGTATTCGGGTAAACTCTATCCAAATCTGCAAAGAAAGGCAGTGACCAGTGCAGTCTGGTTGACCACATGCAAGGAATCCTTTTTCACGGATACCCGCATACCATACACGTAGCCGAAGCCTCCATGTTTGGGCTAGCGGCTAGCATATTCTAGGTGAGGGGACGCACCACTTCTTACAGAGGGAGAAGGTACTGAAGGCACCCTGATTCATGCGAAGCAAACGCATTCACGGATATTCATGATCGACGGAATCCTTTCTTGAGGACTGTTTCTTCCGTGGCGCCATTCCCTAAGGTCTGGTAGCTCTTCAATGGACGTTCTCACCCCAATGGCCATGCGCTCCCCGTGAGGGTGGACGGCCCATCCGTTCCCGCGCCTGAAGGCAAAGGTATCCGAAGAAGAGCAGCAAAGGCACCGCCCAAGCGGAGAGGATCTGCGATCGCGCTTCACGCGCGTTTGCTCTTGGCGTGTGCTTGGAGTGCTTTGGTGCCAAAGTCCAAGGGTGAAGGCATAGAGACAAAACATATCATGGAAGGGTATATCTGTTTGACCTTTGATGTTCCTAGGGCTCAAATGAGCCAAAGCAGCACAGTCTCACATCGTGTTCGAGGTGCCTATGTTGAGATTCCATTTCACGTGTCAGTCTATGATGGCATCAATGCGACTGGAGGCTATGTGAGGATGCTAATCTAAATGTGGAAAGGACAAAAAGGCTGAACTGTTACACACAATTTGCCAACATAGAGGATCCGGGTGCCAAAAGTACATGGCGCAATATGGCCAACAAAAATGCACAACCATTCAACACCAAGCACTCTTTTGTATTCTGTTGTTTCTTGCTGGGTTTGCGCTGGCAGTTGCTACGTATCTAAAGGTGGAGAGGAGAGTTTGGCTTCCGAATCAGCTACTAACTACACAGGTTCTGAAGGACTAGAGATGGTGGTGGTGGTGGTGGTGGTGGTGGTGGTGGTGGTGGTGGTGGTGGTGGATATTGAGGTGATGGAGGATTGAAGAGTTCTACTATTCTAGACGTGGAGAGAGACGTCTGATTGGGAAGAATGGGTCACCAACACAAAACTCACCTTGGTCTCACAAGGTGTTACAAAAAAGTGTCTCCGAATATATATATATATATATTGTGTGTGTGTGTTGAATCGTTTCTATCGACATAACTAAGTTATATAAAACAACACCATTCATTTGTACTTGGTTCGGCTGGTTTGGTTTGAAACCATTGCAGTTCTTTTTGGCAAATCTGAAGACGAATGAACAGTTATCAAGAAGACCCGTTTTTCTATGATGTTTTTTTTGGACAGCCAGGAGCGAACCCTACAACAATTTGGGTCTGGCTTGGTTCGGCATATTAGTAGGACGTATAAAAAGGAAGCTCTGCATGTCCTTTGAGCAAGCAAAAGGGAGTCACCCATATATCTAAAATGATACCAATGCCGCTGCCTTGGTGGCTCTGGTGCGGTTGTCTTCTTGCTTGCTTTGGAGACCGGAGGCCGGTCTAGGGCATTTTCCGGCGCCCGATATACCGCACAGCACCAGACGGTGGACTGACCAGCCGGCACGCTCGCGCCGCAACACCATCGATCCTGGACCGAGCGTGGACTGCGGGACGTGGACTACCTCCCTGGTGTCGGTCGACCTGGTGCTATCGGTTGGACTCCGCTCAGCTCCCTCCCTGGTGGGGTCCGGCGCCGTGACCAGGCCGCGGGAAACCGCCTCTCCGAGCGGTTAGGATTCGGTGTTCCTTCCCACCCTGGAGTCGCCCGCGCCATGCAGAAGGTCGCAGCTTGCTGCTTCTCCATGGCCTCGAACGGAAAGTGGCAGGCTGAAACGCCCGTGAGCCCAAGGAGAACACATCCCCAGTGAAAAAACTCAACACATATGTGGTTCCTGCTTCATAGGCAACTGAACATGTGGCTCCTATTTCATCCTATTGCATTGAATAGGCCCAACTGAACTAACTAGGAATCAGGACATAGAACAACTCCCCCTCCATCATAAAGCAGGTGCGCAAGTAGCTTGGCTCCACCCAAAGGATGAGGGCACCCCGGCCCTCGCAGCACTGCCCCGGCCATGGAACTCCGTTTTTTCGGGCTCCCCAAAGCCCACATCATACGACCCGGGCCCACATACGCGGTGTCCTGAAGAAACACCTTGCAGCCTTGTAGTTTGTAACATATTCTAGGCAACCACATGCAATCCCAACATGGCCACAAGGGGAACTTGTGACATTCATTTAGCAAACAACAGAATGTTGGCTTTTACTTTGTAGTGGTCCACTGCTCATCTATCTGCAGAATTCTGACTCCACGTCAGCCTGGTCAGCCTCTCTTACTTTGTGTCGGCCTCATGGAGGTAGGTCGCCCTATTCTCAGCATGCTGGTGAGCCCTATCAAAACCAACAGAACGACACTTTTAGGGAACTCCGTGCAGCTGCTGGGAGACGCCAGGGCAACTCTCAGTCCCTGCTAAGCACGATAGCTACCTAAGACCTTTTTTTGTGACCTGTTGGATCACCAACCACTCAAAACATGGTCAAATGTCCACTGAAAACAAAGGTATTGTTTGGATTCATGCATTTCATAGGTATACCTGGTATACCTACAATTCCAATGAGTCAAAGCTCTAGAACCCCACCGTAGTCAACTCCCAACGGCCCACCTTCTATTCGCGTGTCTGCCCAGGATCCGTGTCCGTCCCAGTTCCTATCGACGTTGCTGGTCCTTGACAATGTCATGACATGTATCCTCCTGATTCGGCAGCCTTTGATCGAAAACTCGCGAGTAGAATTCCAGAAAACGTTCTCACCTGCATGTCATCATGGCAGGCTTTGTCCAAGAGTTGGTATCGACCTACTCACTCTTGGACAAAGCCTGTCATTCACATGCAAAGGCAAGTGCTTCGTCATGGCTCACATCAGGCACCTTCATGGTCGTGTGCGCCAGTTCTGAGAGCACTGATGTGGGCATGATGAAGATCTCCGGACCCATGAGATCTCCGAAAACCATGACTGGTTGGTGGCTTCAACTCACGAGAGAAGAACATAGTCGCTTCAATCATACCAAGTAAAGGTTGAACATACAACTATATGAAGCCACCACCCAGAACATGAGCGTCCAGTGTTTAGGGCCCAAAGTCCAATGGGCTCAGGTTGCACCAGTCCTCTGACCGTGAACGGGAGTATCGGCGCTTCACTGCGTTGCAGTAGCCCCGGGGCGCTTCATCGCGTTGAAACAACGCGACGGCGCTTCACTGCGTTCGGTCCAGAATCATCGCTGGGGAGGAACGACTTCGATGGGGAAAAGGGCTAAGCTTGGTCGTGCTGGCCAGCCCTATAGAGAGATTGGTGTCAATGTTTGAAGCTGCAGCTCCTGGGGAAGAAATGTTGGTTCACAAAACTCGAACAACTACAAAGCAACACATCCATTCTCGTCATGCAACTGCTTCTTTCAACATTTTCTTCCGGAATTCCGACTTCTGATTGAGACCGGTGGTCCGCAACAAAGGTCTCTCAATTGTTGAACGTCCTTTTCGTCAAACACGGCATGGCCTCAAAGAGCTTCAGGGCTCGCAGCCATTGCCTGCCTTTCTCACAAGCACTGATGGCCGCACTGAAGAAAATTACATCCTTAGATTCAGATTTGAGTTCCCCAACATTGAGCTAGTTATTAGTTGCAGCTAGTTCCTCTCCAAAGCGGGGGTGGACCGCTCACACTTCACTGTTCCAACTTGGATGGCCCGGCTCCCAGGAACTGCCGGGAATTAACCAAAAGGGAAAATAGAAACATCTGATCTACAAAACAAGGCATCTGGTTGAACTTTCGCCTTGGGCATAGCTTCCAGCAACTTCAATGCCTGTTGCCACTTCCCGACTCTCTCACAGGCACTGATGGCCGCACTGTAGCTAATGATGTCGGGCTGAACGTTCTCCTCGAGCATGACCTTGAACAGCTTCAATGCTTGCTGAAAGTGCCCGCCCTTCTCACAAGCGCTCATGGCGGCGTTGAAGCTGACGACATTTGGTTGAACGTTCTCGTTGGACATGGCCTCAAACAACTTCAAGGCTTGCTGCCATTGCCCGCCCTTCTCACAAGCACTGATGGCGGCACTGTAATTGATGACATCGGGCCGAACTATTGCCCCAAGCATGGCTTCAAACAAGTCCAATGCCTGCCGCCACTGGCCGCCCTTCTCACAGGAACTGATGGCGGCACTGCAACTAAAAGCATTTACCTGCACTTTGGCCTCCAGCATGGCCTCAATCAACTTCAAGGCTTGCTGCCACTGGCCGCTCTTCTCGCAAGCACTGATGGCTGCACTGTAGCTGATGACATTTGGCTGCACTTTTGCCCCTGGCATCACCGCTAACAACTTTAATGCCTGCTGCCACTGGCCACCTTTTTCACAGGCACTGATTGCGGCACTGTAGCTGATGACATTTGGCTGCACTTTGGCCTCCATCATGGCCTCAAACAACTGCAATGCCTGTTGCCACTGGCCGCCCTTCTCACACGCGCTGACAGCTCCACTATAGCTGATGACATTTGGCTGCACTTTGGTCTCCCGCATGGCCTCAAACAACTGCAATGCCTGTTGCCACTGGCCGCCCTTCTCGCACGCACTGACAGCTCCACTATAACTGAAAACATTTGGCTGCACTTTTGCCGCTGGCATTGCCACCAACAACTTCAATGCCTGCTGCCACTGACCCCCCTTTTCGCAGGCACTGATGGCTGCACTGTAGCTGATGACAGTTGGCTGCACTTTTGCCGCTGGCATTGCGACTAACAACTGCAATGCCTGCTGCCATTGCTTTGCCTTCGCATACGCTGAAATGCCAACATTGTAATTGTAGAAGTTTAGTTCAAAGGTGCCATCTTGTCTGATAATCTCTATGGTGGCAATGACCAGCTTGTACCCCTTCGTTTGCTGGCAAAAGTTCAACAAGACTTGCTGAAGGATCTCCTTTGACCGAACCAATTCTGGCAATAAAACTGCTCTGAGATTTCCTTGGGTGTGATCATTGGGATATATCCACAACGAAAACAATAGTTTCATGATGTTACATGTAGAGGTGCATGGCTTTTGTTGCTCCATATGGCTTGAACGAACCAGCCAGCCTCGTAGGAGAAGGCATGTTTTGAGTTTTTCGGACAAGTTGTTACCTTATATATATATATATTATATAACATAAATATATATATATATATATATGCAACATATGTTAACCTTGTAACTTGAAACATCAATAATGTTCAGCTCTGAAGGCAATCTCCTGCACTCTTCACATGACTTAAAGTAGAAGTTACGCACCAGAAGCCAAAAGCCGAAGCTCATCTTGGGTCCTTCAGCATCCTGCAGTAGAGAAACCAAAAAAATGGTCTCAACAAAATCTAGGTGTCTTTCATTCACACCTTGGCACAGCTCCAGCAACCACGTCCTCCTTTCTGAAACCAGAGCATCGGCATCGCATGTTTCTTCAGCGCGAGGTGTCCACACACCGCCTCCACACCGTGTGCATCGCATGTCGCCGGCGCGAGTGTCGCAAGTGACTCCACTGCTGGACCGGCGCGTCTCGGCGTCTCCGCGCTCCGTGGCGCTGCCGGCGTCGAGCGTCAGTGCAAGCGCCAAGATGTGGGGGAGGATGCATGGATGGTCGACGATGGCGAGGCGAAGGGATCAAGGATGCTGTGCGGCTGAGGCGAAGAAGGCTGCGAGGAATCTGGACCCTCCAACAAGGTGATTGCTAAACACCAAAGAGTCCAGGAGTCCAGGAGTGCACGTATGGAATACATGTATATAACTTAATTCTATACCCTAGCTAATATACATATTAAATCATATGAAATACATATTATATTACAACATATTTATCTCATTATGCAATGTTCATGTCCTACATGGACCAATGGCGTCGCAGTGCTTATAAGATTTGGTCCATCAGTGCGATGTTTCAGGTCTTCGGGAGGGGCCCGTTGCAATACCGAAGGGTCATTGCTCTGTGCCGGGAGCTGATTCAGATCTGCCCAAACACTCCGTGGGACTGGATTCAACCACCCGAATTGGTGTAAACAATTAGCTTGAGAATCCGGGCACTCAACAGCCATGGAGCCAAGGATTCTGGTGTAAAATCTTCCAGTCCCAAACAGGTGGTGTCTGGGTTGTGTGTTTATCCACACGCTCAAACGGAGCCGTTCCCAAAAACAGGTTGACCCCGTCCGGGTCCAAAACGGATTGACCCGGTCCGGTGGACGTGTCTCCCGGACATGTCTGGGACGGGAGACGGGTGGTGCGAAAGACGGACGGATGGGTGGCACGTCAACATCTTAGATACGATGTTTACACGTAAGACATACACGAGCCCTCACGGTGTGGACTGAAGAAGAAGACTTCCCAAAGACTTGGTCGTTCCTCCTGATTAAAGGGGTCTTTGTGCTGAAAACCCTTTCCTTTGGAACCACTGGCTTCTTGGGACTCGATCTGCTTAGATCCGCTTCATGCCCCCATCATGTAGACTCTGGGATTTTTGTTTTGTTCATCAAGAGTGTTACATTACCTATTTCATCCTATTCCTATAATTCTTGGTCTTTCTTGAGGAACTCCTCGATGACATCCTCCCCCCTTCGACCAAAAGCGGCCCCACCAAAAACCTCACCCAAGCACGACCGATGGGACTGGAAGATTTTACAATGATTTACATACATTGGGGTGGTTGAAGAGGTTGATTATGTAATTATAGGTCAAAACCGGTCAAAACCTCCCAGTCCCAAATAGGTCGTGTCTGTGTTAGGAAATGGGCCGCGAAAACGTGGGAGCACGCCCAACCTCACCTGGATGGAGCCGCTCTCCAACACGGTGGCTGATGGCCGAACCGCACGGCGGCTGATGGCCAAAGGCGGATGGCCGGAAGCAACGAAGGGATAATGAATCAATACACAATACCGGATACAAGCTGGAAACCCATTCAACCAGAAACCGCCGGGATGTCCCCAAAACAAAGACTTCGAAAGGATCTCGAGTGCCATATTGGGACAATGACAACCAATGGTTTCTTCTTGGAAGTAGAAATATACATCTATAACCCAAAAGTGACTAGATACGTCGACTTTGGCTCCTATCGGTTTGTCCAAGGGCAGTGAAGTGACAATTCAAAACAGGGAGAGAGTCCAAGTGGGGAGGCCGGACAGGAGCAAAGAGCAAAGAGCAAAGGATCATCTGCAAGAACTTGAAATGATGTTCTTCTGGAGCAAAGGACATGCGATAGAAACCACATGAGACAACTCCCGGGGATTGCTGTTCCATCTGTTAAGACATATGTGGCGGGCTCCGTGAATCTTTTCCGCGTCCTTCTGTGGGTTCAATATCCTCTACAAATCGGTGGTTTGAGGGAATTTCCCATCTTGGTTTGAACAACACTACCTTCACTCAAAGTAACATATGGAATATAGTGTAAAGCAGGTATGGTTGTTAAGCCGGTCAAATATGTCACACTCAACAAAAAAAGGTCCATGTTGCTAAGCAAAACCTGGATGCATATGCATATGTCCTTTTGTAACGCACAATCGTCAAGCAGGTCCATCATCCATCCATCTCCATCATTCATGTACGACCGTGACGCACGCCTCCCCCCCCCTGTGACGCCCGCGCATCATCTTCCCGGTCTCGCAATCGGATCCCCGGTCTCCAGCATCGGCCCGGACGGCGCGATGGTTCGCAGCTGAAGTACACGCTGCTTGGCAGGTGCACGAGGCTGATGTCCTCCATGAAGCATATCTTAGAGGCCCTGAAGTCACCCCATCCCACGGCAAAAAAACAGAAAACCACGGGCCCTACCTAAGACTGGAGTTCTGCCGTTCGAAAACGCTGGGAGTTGGGAGTGGCTTGGCAAGGGCTTCAGCAAATCCACCCTGTTGGGGTCGTGGCAGTCTTGAGGAGTGAGCACTGTCTTGAGGTCGAACCATGGTATTTTGTCAGAACAGAAATTCACAACAGTCACGATCCTCCTCAGGGCGTTAAAAAAAGAAGCACGGAGGTAGGGTCATGAAGTGCATTGGCGTCAGAAATACAGCCACGCCAAAGAAGTGTCTCCATGTTCCATCCTTCCAAAATGGAAACAAGCTTGACATCATGCGGCCTCAGAAACATCTTATGAATAGCATCATATATAGAATACTAGAAAACATAATACATATGTGCAACGGCATTTATTTGGTACTAAGCTCAAACACACTATCTATATTATAGTAATATCTATTATCATGCGGGGACCTATCTCGTTTAGACTACTTAAGCAGGAGGTCATGCCCCAGTATCTCTTTCAGACTGCTTTAGTAGCAGATCACACTATCTCGTTCAGGCTACTTTAGTGTCATCAAGCAAAGGTATATCGTTTATGTGCGGGCCCTATCTCGTTCACAAGCGAATACTGATGATAGACAAGCAAATAGAGCATGCCGTATACAACTTTAGTAAAGGTTGCTGATATACATATACAGGTTATAACATGCTATAACAAACATAATGATCATAATGTAGACTTTGCCAGGCTCCATTCTCTTCGCAGTCCCCAAAGAGGTCGCTTTGGTCAGAGTATAAAATAGGCAAAAGGATGGTTAAGTCGGTGTTTTTCTCAAATATCCATTGGTCTTTCAAAAACTCGGTTTGGTGGGCCAAGAGCGTTTTACGTGGCATCGCGTGGCTGTGGCCCCCATCTTCAGGGCACCCAAGGGTACAGGTCTTGTACCTGTTCCAGTTTTCCGTGCGCAAGGCGCAAGATCAGTGGAAGCACGGCGTGTTTTGCTCTGGGCCTAGCCGGGCCTAGCCGGGCTCAGTTGTTCAGCTCCAAAACCATTGAAACGTGTCCCAAAGACAAGCTGAAATGCAAATGACGTGGTAAAATTCCAGTGATGTCCCAGAAACGCTGATGGACCCTCATATGGAGAAATCAGACCTTAAAAAGAAGCCTGGCGTTTCCAGCTTTCAGGGACGAAGGGGCTGTGAACGGAGCGTTTGGGTGGAAGGAAAGGTGGCCGATCTCAGGAGTTGCTTGACTGACCCCTTCAGTTTCCCTGAAATGGTTAACCTTTTTCCATCTGTTCTACTCCAGCCATGTCAATTGATGGCAACACTATCGACACTCAGGACGGATAGTGCAAAACAAAGACCCTAAGAGACATTGTTCTTTTTTGGTGGGGGGGGGACACTCCACAAAATAGTATTGCAGGTTATCCACTGACTGGGCGATCTCAAAACTCTTCGCTCGCCGAGTCAAGTCCACTTCTTCGCTCTTGCAAAGCCAGGCGACTTGGTCAGCCAGTGATTTCATCACGGACCGCCAATGCCCAAAAACGGCCAAAACTACCCGGGGGACAGGGCGCAGTCTGAATGAAGTTTGGAGCGGAGAATCTCGAGAGTGGTTCTTGAAGGACAGTTGACTATCCCTAACAATCCGGGCCCTCAAGCACATAGGGTTTTGAGGGTCTGGACCCCTGCCATGGAGGGTCCGACCCCCACCATGGAGGGTCGGACCAAGGATTCTTAGGGATACACATCCTTTATAAGTCCATTTCGGTGTGTTCTTGGGCAGGGCATCCCACAGTCGAGGCCCCAAAAGAACTCTTTTCCTCAAGCCTCTCCAGGAAGGTTCATAAAGGTCTGCCTAAAGCAGTGCAGCCACTAGTAACTAGTATACAACTATAAGCACATAATTTCACAAATCATCAAATACAGCTCGTTTCCTTCCTGATTTGCAGCAAGTTATACCCTTTGGGAACCTGCCTGCTTGGCTTAGACCCAGTTGGGCTTAGCAAAAGGTTGAAACAAATACCATGCGTTTGATTGATGATCTCTGCTCTGATTTTGGCGGCATGGTGCACCCAGTTGGCCCCAACGGCCCTACGGCTGTTCAGAATGCCTCCTGCAGCATGGGGCAGGTTGAGAATGTCTGAGTCCATTGTGGCAGTCTCCGCTGTTGGAACACATTTTGCAACATCTATGGCGTCCAAAACACCATTTAAGAACCCTTAAAACCTAAAACAAGTTGGTGCAGGGTCTCTGCCTTCCAAAAGTGGCCTTAGCTGAGAACTACTCATTCCTTCAACGCAGGCTTTCTTCAAACCACTGGCACCGCTGACCCCAGCTGACCCCCTTCTCCACTTCTCGAGGAACATAGAACCGAACCGTTCATCTTGAGTGGTGAACCAACATGACCACGCAATGACCGGATGCCCACGTAGGTTGAACGCAGCTGATCCACGGTTGGGTTCTAGCACCGCAAGGACTATCATTAGGTTGGGTCGTCTTCAGCAGTAAAGGACCGGATGATGATGGGGCCTGGGCAAGCAGGCCGACAGTTCAGTGATCAACGTGTTTTCACACCTTGATCTGGTCATCACCGGTCCCTTCCGGGGGAAACAAGGATCAAACACGTCCGGTCTCTCGGGTGAACGCTCCGTTAGGGTTTAAGAAACGAAGAATCTGACCCAAAGAATCCGACCTGTCTGGGACAGGAAGACTTGTATACCCCAACACGACCTGAAACCTTATTAATATATACTTAATATATTCCAGTCCATGGAGTGTCTGGGTGAGCAAATCTCCGCTGTGACTTCTTAGCAGAATGCGATGAACTGGAGAGACATTATGATCGATTGAACTTGTGGCTTCTTTTTATTGGAATCACGGGGAGTCGCAGTTCCTCCTTTTGACTCCCTTGGGGAATAATCCCGAGTACCTATTAAGAAACGGTCCCCTATTAAAAACAAAACTCATGTCGGAAACCCCTAAATACGGTTTATATTTGTTTTTAAACTGCCGCCCTTTCAAACCGCTACTAAACTACCAACATGGCCGATTTTGGAGGAGTTTTTTGTTAAATAGGTTCCAAGAACAACCGTAACTGCCCACCTCTGTCCACCCTGTCTATCCACCATGAAACACGCCGTGTTTACACCAGCAGGCTGTCCTTTCCCCAATGGCACGGACTCACGCCAACGCACTTTCCCCCAATGGCACAGCGACATCACCTTTCGAAAGCTTTATTATATAAGTTGTTAGTCGGGGAAAAGGAAGAACCTTCGATCTGGAGGTTATTGAATTTTTGATACGAGTTTAATAGAGGATTTTATAGAACATTTTCCTGGGTGACTTTTTGGTTTTGAAGCCCTTCCCAGGTGACGCTATTTTGGACCCGGATCATTCCAACGGCTTGAGGGCAGAATTCCAGCAGCCAAAGGGTGATTTTTAGAAGGGCAATACACGGTCAGGGGAGTCCAAAACCACCCGACCTGGGCTGGTTGAAAGCTTCATTTCGAAGCGCTTCAAGCGGGACGGCGATCCGGAAACTGCGGCGTTCCACCCGTTCGGTGACGAGCTGTCAATCCGGTACAAGCCTCGGACCCAGCGCCAGGTGTGTGGGGTGGAGAAGCGCCAGGGTGTCCAGAATATGCGCCTCGCCGTCAAAGACTTACCTACCACATCTTGCCATAATACATCCAAAGACTTGCCCCAAGAGAGGGACAAATGCATCGAAAACATCTCTGATACATTCTGAGCATGACATTTCTCCATGTCTCCACCTCACAGGACAAATCTGCAGGTGACATCTAAAGGCAACGGATGCCTGCCGACTGAGGATTAGCAACGAGGTCGACCAATACTCCGACTGGGGTCTTGTGGTAGGGCTTTGGGAGGTTCTTTCCCCAAACACTCTGCTAGGCTGGTTGTTTGGGACCCCATTATTAAAACAGAACAAAACCAACCAGGCCCGATGTACCTAATTATGCCAGTCCCATGGAGTGTTGGGAGTACATGTTCTTTTTCACCATTCCAAGTTCCAAGGGAGGAACACCTTCGAGCCTCGTCCTCCGATCAAACCGCCCACTCTCGAGAGAACCCCTGCCATGGTACCAGTTCATTGCTGCAGGTGCTCATGATGTCCAGGATGCCTGATTTTGGCAAAGAGAGGCGCAAGGGACATGAAAACCATTGTTGAACTTCTGCACAGCCTGACAACAACATAACAACATCTGTAGAATCAATAGCATCTGTTGTAAACAACTGGCGCCGCCCCAAACACATCTAGTTGGATGGAACGCAAACCACTTATATATCCCAAACGCTCCATGGGACTGCCATATATGCCTACATTGGGGTAGTTTGGGGGGTCAATGTATGCATATATGGCATACATGGAGCGTCTGGGTATATATACTTCTACTCGGGCCTGGTGAGTTAGGACTTTGAGAACAACACCTCGTAGTGAACGACTCCTGTCCCATGAGGGAAAAGCTGTTTCGACCATTGTGCGGGTAGATTTGTTTTGTATTTAATTGTTCTATAAAACATGCCAGCAGGTCTATGCCAGCAGGTGGCACATGAGATAGGACTTGGCCCTGGCCCATGGACGTAGAGAATAGAGAATGGGGTGGATAGTTGTCAGGTTGGAGGCGCAACCTCATGAGATAGAACCAAACGGGAATCGTTGGCATGCTGAACCGAAGCGTTCCAAATGTGTTCAGTCTGCCATTTTCTCAAACTGATTCTTTTGACCAGGGTAATTCCAAAATCGCTTATATAATAGTTTTAAGTTTGTGCTGGGAGCAAATCCCAACCCGTCTTCCCCCAGTACATCTATTTAGATATACAATTACATTGTACACTTTGATTTCAAGCAAAGCCCAAAACGGCCACTCACCGCCCAAATGATGCTTGAATTTGTTGGACGGTCAGCTTAAATTTTAGGAGGATGTATCCACCACCCTTTGGAAGGTGCTGTTGGTCTTCGACGAGCTACTCGTCTCCACTTGCGTGAGAGGAAGCGCGATGACTGGAGTGCCGCGATGCGCGGCTGGCCCGCCGCGCCGCCGCCGCGCGGGCGGCCGCGCGCTTCAGGCGGCGCTTTTGCTTCTTGAGGTGGCCCACTTGAGCGGCCATGTTCCTCGGTGGGCGACGTGTCCCGCGGTATTCTGTCGGCTTCGCGGATGTGACAGTGGTCGGCTATACGCTATACGCATGACAAAAGGTGCTTTTTATAGGAAGGTGTCGAATGAGGTGGAAAAATCAAAAAAAAGCGTTCAAAGTGGAAGGCGTCACCTCCTTCAGACTGCTGCCGAAGCTCGACTGGAAAAGTCAGGGATGATGGAATACAGCTGCGGCCCAAAGTTGCATATTTACCGACATTGGGGGATCATTGATGGTTGAAAAGGGATCAAAGTGTAGGTAAACAGTTCTAGTCCCATGGAGTGTTTGGGGTAGCCATTAGGAAATTCTAGCATCCTCCTCCACCTTCAGAAGCCGCAGAACATCCAAGGGGCGCATCCGGCGCGAAGATCAAGAGATAGCTCTTCAGCCAGTTCCAGCTGCTGGCCTTTGGGCCATCGGAGGATCGTTTGGAAGGGCGGAAACCTGGACCTGTGCTGTCCAGGAAGAACAAATCAACACTCAACAGACCCGCCGTGCCCTGTCTGGTTGAGCGTTTCTGTTTAGAGCGGTCATGTGAGTCATGTTGTTGTTGTTGTTGTTGGCTGAGGGATCCACCACATGACGAGTTGCTCAACCAAATCTCCACCTTTGAGGTCACCAATTTGTTCTGATCGTCAGGAGCGGTCCGATCAAACATGTGTGGGCCTCGTTTTTGAGAGTTGGAGCCCCAGGGATGCAACATGATTTCTCTTGTTTGGTTGCCTGTGCCATGGAAGTGCACTACACTAGGCATTAAGAAGATGTACTCTAAATGGACCATGTGTCATGTCTATGAATCAAACTGACCCGTGTCCACCACAAATACAGAATATCGATCAATATGAATGATATGTATATAATATATACAATATATGCCTTCTTGTGCAAGGTTCCTATCGGTTCCCCACTAGTTGGGCCCTACATGCAAATATCAAGCCCTTACACTGACCGGTTTGAGCAAAACTACTCAGGCATCATGCAATCCCAAACCAGGAAGCGTGCCCTCCCCACTGTTTCCATCGTTTTCCTATCAGGGGAGGCAACGCGCGAAACACGGCTGCGCATCCTTTTGGGGATTCTTACGTCGGATGCCCCGGTCAAGCGACCCGATTTTTTCAAGCACGTCGATCGATCAAACAGAGTCTGTCATGTCGCATGTCGTGCACATGTCGAAACAGTGGGAAGTGAGTCGAATGAAAACCAACGACTTGTGACACGACCCAACCATTCGATGCATGGGATATGTCTATATGTCTACGTCCGTGCGGATGGGTCAGACATGGATGGATCGATGTCTAGAACACTCGTCCAGTCCCAAGCATCACTCGTGTCTGGGAATTTTCTCTATGGTTTTCAAATGGCACTGGCCCCCAGAGACGTCTTAGACAAATGGGGATCCATATATAAACCGCCAAACTTGGGGTAAGTTGCGCCATCGAACCTCTGAAACCACTGTACTTTTCAGGGTGGAGGCTTCTCCCGGCCTTGGTGACGAAAGGATCCTCCCTGTAAGGCGTCCTTGGTGTCCGCCAACTAGGCGAAATTCAAGGGAGCTTCAATGTACAGTACGGTATAGGAAAGCACTTCATTAATATTAGTACACGTGTACTAAATATCTTTGACAAAGCTCATTTTGTTTGCATGCATGCAAAACTAACATATGTACCGTGCTTTCAGCTTTGATACATACAAATGGAGAAGGGCAACCGCAGGATTATTCAAATGTCAAACCAAATGATCGAACCAAAGACATGTATCCAAACTATCCATGGGACTGGCCCATGGAAGCAGCATGTTTGTTCCACAGTCTGGATGGTCTGGGGTAGTGAGATTCACCTTGATTCTCTGTCCGGAAGTGTAAAACATGTTGATGAATTGATGTGATACATCTCCAAGGAAAGCATGAGAACCACGGTGGCAAACCTGCTGGCGCTGAGCAAATCGTTTAGTTCCCTTCGTTCATTGCATTCATGTGGACACGAGTTCAATTCAATAGCCTACCACGTGCTTCATGTCACGTAGAATGATGTGAAAATGCACAAATTCCACAGTGGCCACCATTTTTCAGCGCCACCGAAGCTGCTGGCTTGGCCAGCTGGAGCTGCAACCCCTCACAAATTGTCTGGCGAGGCACATGGTGCCGGTGTCCCAAATAATCATGTCGCGGCCAGTCTTTATCACCACATGCCCGCAGCTGTTCCGCAAGCTTTCATCAATGACCTCACAGGTGTTTTCTCGTTTTCTCTTCTCGGCCGATAGGGGCAACAAGGGTTTGCACAGCCGTAAGAAATTGCAAGAACCTGTTGCTCTAGTCTAGTCCTGAGTCCTGATCTCTCAAAACATCTTGACCCTTGTTTTTGTGTAGGCCCCTTGCATCATTTGGTCCGTGAAAAGCACTACTTTGGTTGCGATGTCAGTTGAGCAAATTTATAAATTTGGGGCTGTATCATAAGCCTCCCCTATTGCCTATGGGTACCAAAGATCGAAACCGCGTTTCTTTGAATGACATCGCGTGCCAGCCAGCAACCACATGAATACTGTATACGCCTATCCTGATGCAGTGTCTATGCATATATGTATATATATATATCTTCTGAGGGCGGCAGTTCGAGGAACTGGTAGAAACCGCGGTCTTGTGTTGCCAGTTGCGGTCTTGTTCAAGTAACTCCACTAAACTAAGTGTTCCTCTTGCTACCTAGGACCTACTTATCATCAAGTTTGGTACACTAACACATAGGTCCATAAGTCCCTAGACTCTTGAAGAACCAGGTCTTCCGCTTCTCTGCTTCTCAGCTTCTCTAACAGTGGGCTATCCATGCTGGTGCAAAATGGATTTCTTCGACAGCAATCACATCTGCAAGCTTGTAATACCCCAAGAGTTGGCAAAACAAAAACAAATACAACATGATCCCAACCATTGAGGTTGGACCTGGTGGTGTTAAGCAGGTGGCCAACATGGAAGCGTCCACCATCTCCCACCCAAGCCCACCATCGGCCCTTCAACCTCACCACGCCCGTTTCCTTTGGGCTTGGCTTCCTTCGGAACGCCCGCCACAAACCACCGGGGCGCCACATTCACCTCGAGGCGGAGCTCCGAGAAGCCACCGAGGTTCTCCTGCCGAAGCACCGCACCGGCCACCGGGCCACGGTGCGGCCGGGCAGCTTGCAGGGTCGGGCTGCACAACCCATTCCCAACACACTCCATGTACGGACATGTTTGGAATACCTGTAGCAGTAGCAGTAACAGTGGATGATGATGATTCATTATTGGTTATTGTGTGTAAGGTCTTTCTCTAGAACAGTGAAAGTTGTTTGCTGCCTGTTACAGTCTGTTACAGGTAATGGGACAAACCAAAGGAATAGTTGCATACATTGGTGGTGTTTGGGGGGTTAATGTAAATATGACACGCATGGAGTGTGTGGGATTTGACTCACATGTGCCGAACGGCCTCCCTCCAGAACCTGAAGAAACACTAAGAACAAAAAACATACACTCCCCGAAAACTAACATAGACCCTGACAATGGTCCCATGGAAGACGATTTTCCACCAACCAGGGCTTTTCCGGTTCCAATCGTCGACACCAGGGTGTAAAAACAAACAAACAAACAATGGTGAACATCGAGCCGGAACCTTGGATCCTCGGTTTTCGACCGGTGAAATCAGCTGGAACAGGCCCCCACCTCCGCGGAGGGGTTTTTGATCGACCGAACAGGCGGGGGACGGTGTGGGACCCGATGGCCGGGGCCCGGCCGGAGATCACAGGAGTCCACGGAGCCGATCAGATCCAGTTCACATCCACATCACAACCAGGAACCCCATCTGCAAAACGGGTGCCTGGTGGTGCAGCTTTTGTGTCCCTGCCCTATACTTGGGCTCCTTGGAGACGCATTTGGTGTTCCATCGAAAGATGTGGTGCAAATTCTTGTGAACTGGGAAAGAAAAGGCATGAAAAGCGTGAAAAGGAAAGGCGCCTGTCGACGCTCACTCTCTTCTTTGCAAGGATGCAGGATACATGCGTCCGCATGCGGTCAAGAACCCTGATTCACCCTTGGGATCCTCGAAGGGGCTCATTGATCTTTGGTTCTGCAGCTGCGTACTTGGCAAACTGAAAAAGCGGCCCAGCACAAGCAACAAAAATCCAAGTCGTACAGTAACTGCCAATTGCACACAACAACCGCGCAGCAACCCCAGAACCCCACCCAGAAAATCGGGAAGGATTGGTTATGCCAGTCCTACCGATCCCGCCTGTGGAAATCAACATAATCAAATCTCAACTTCGCAGTAGACGAAAACACATGGAAGTGGACTGCCTTTGGGGGTGGAAGTACACTCTTCCTTCTACACTTCCAAGGTGCCTTCACTCCACTTGCCATGTAATAGTGTTCGCCGGGTGGTGTACATTTCGCAAATGTAGTGCCTCAATGTAGTTGATCTTGGGCATGAAGGCGTGGGCCACCCTGAACTCCACGATGATCGGGCGCTGAAGTCCATGCTCCTCGGTCGGTGATCTGAACACCAAACAAACCAAACGCGCGGAGTGGTGAGCTGGGATTGGATGAGTTGATGGGAGGAAGACAGGTCGAGTGTCCATCTGCAAGTTTGGTATCCAGAACATATACTGCCCGGGACTCATACGTACTTGAAACTGTTGGAAGCCGAAAGATTCAGATTGGAGGCCTCTCATGCAGCATATGGGCCTCCCATGGCGGGACACCTGTTGGCGCCAGGGTTTTGGAAGTATCAGGTCTTCGATATTCTTCCATCCTCTACGCACCCAAACGCTCGTCACAGCCCGACGTTCTTCCCTCAAGATGAGAGAAGGTTGAGACCCCAGACTCCTCTAAGGGTACGATTTCGGTCTAGGGTCGCGTCTGGGCAAGACCAACATCTTGGTCGATTGCAGCTGTCCCACTCCAGGTATATATGCATACCGAAATCAACCATCCCAACAAATCGGTCAGTACTTTGGTTAGTCAACTTGCCCATAAAGCCTTGTGAACTTGTCCACCATCCCAACTGAACCCTTTTGGAAAACATCCCAACGGTAACAGAACCCTGCCAGTCATCATGGGTCGTGTCATGCCTGGTCATGGCGACAACTCCGGAGAAAACCGAGAAAAGCCCAGGTGCCCAAAGTGGTCGACGCGGAGCACGGAAGACGTCCTCGGCCGACACTCGTGAACAGTCGAATCAATGTTTTTTTCCCTAACGATCTTGACCTTTGAAGCATCTTAAGAACCACCCATCATCCATGTAGGCAAAACCTAAGAATTCAATGGACATGGATTGTCTGGGTGTTGGATGGCGTTGGCCACGGCTCACCACTATATAACTAGATGCTGGACAAAACCACCACCAAACCAAGTCTCCAGTTCATTCATCAAGCCGAACTTGAAGTGATCAACCCCTGCCTTCAAAGACCCTCAAACAAAGGTTGACCTCGTGTAATGATTCTTCGGGATTCAACCCACTGAAATCAACGGCGAACCTGTGGTCTCCCCGTGGTCCCCCCGTTGCACGCTGCAGAAACAGCTTGTAGATCAGTGAGAGAGAGTGATCTTCCAGGTGCAAAGCAATTTGGATCAAAACACACCAAAGCCACGAGAAAGCTCACAATGTGCATCTCTGATGGCGTAAAGGGATTGTGAACAGTCCATTCCCAAACCCTCCATGTATGGAATACAGTTGCTTATACTTAGCCCATGAACATGAATGACCCTAATGTACGTAACTCCATACACGGATTCCTGGCTGGCCTGGGGTTCATCAGTGTCACATGATCTACAAAGGATTAAGTGGTTCGAGTCTCTTGGTGGCCTATGATGGAAGAACAATCACACTTGTCGAGAAGCCTCTCCACTCACTGGACACTCCGAGGTCCGACGTCGAGTTCAAAGGAACTTGTGCGATCCAATTTATATCAGCCCCCTTTCTAAAAGGAGGCGCCCCAAATCCCCCCAAGAGATCCAAAGAGACTTAACCACACATAACCAACAAAAAACATGAACAACAGCATGCTCTGTTAAAAAGTTGCCCCAATATACCATGTCCCCCCGCCCCGCACCTCCGAATTTCTCACTTTGTTTGCTTTAAACTTTAAGCAACTCAGCCGCAGCTGGGGAGTCATGATCAGTTATGGCATAGCAGCGTAGCTCTCTAAGGGAAAAGCAGCAACACCACTGGGATTTTTCTAAACCTCTAGTAAAATGATCAGTTCAAACGTGGTGCCCTCCCCTACTAAGAAGTGATACCTTCACTGGTGTCCTGAGCAGGAGACCCCTCCAAAAGTCAAGCCGAAACTGCGTCCATCTGTTGAACTTTAGTGGGGAAACATTGGGAAACCATGTCCCCAAAAAGGTGAAATGGAGTGACAGGTTATCCACCTTTCCTGGGTAGGAAGATGTTGGTTGCTGATTGGATCACCAACCTCCCAAATCATCTTAGATGATGTCAACATGTCCAATCCAAATGAACAAACTAGGCAATCCATGACATATCCACCAAACCAAATAGCACTTGCAATTGGGATGTCAAACATGGGACTGGACCAAATCTATCCAAATCCAGAAGAGTTCCCAAGTCTTCAGCTCAAGCATCAGACTTTTGCAACACCACTGGCTCCTCCTCGTTCTCCTCGCAGTCGTCACTGGGGTGGGCGAGTGTTGAGAGACCGAACATTATCCTAGCTTAGGCCTGGGATAGGGCCGGGATGCTAGTCAGGGTTGTGAAAAACCGTCGGTAACACTCAATGGTTTCAACGCAGTGCATCAACTTTTGAACTTCTCCATCTCCGAGACCGGATTGGGACTTGTTGAACAAACCAAAAACGCAAGGGAAACCATCTTGAATGGCAAAAAATCAAGGCCTCTATAAGATCTATAAGGGGACAATACCACCAAACCAGTCACCCAGCACTTCGCAGAACTTCGTTCACTCCTCCTCCGATTCCTCCGGCTGTTGCTGCCGCAAATGATCCACCTGCCACACGATCGATGCATCCGTCGCGGGGTCGAAGCACGTGTTTCTTTGGGAAGCGGACCCAGCTTCACCACGTCAGGGCTGTGGCCGAAACCAACGTGATGTTGTTTTAAAACACATCGAAACGGATAGGGTATGATACAGTGGTTTCAAAGGATCGATTGGTGGGGTTCCGTATAAACCACCTTGTTGGCACACCTACAATCTCAATCCACGATCTTTTTCGCTAAATCCACATGCCAATCACGGTGTGCGTGAGTGTCAAAGCCCTGGCGCCCTTAAACCTCTCAAAAAGGCGGAGGCTCTTGGCACTGTCCAATCGTGGCTCGTCCTCCGTGGGCCCATCTTTCCATGGCCCTGGTTATCCTGGTGTGTTTCACCGCCTTCTGACGAAGCTCCCGAAGCTCTCGCCCAGGGAAGAGCCAATTCAGGAACCTTAGGTGGAGGTGATGTATCACGAAGGTGAAACGTCCACAATCTTGAAATCTCTGGAAACCAGGCGAGTTTGGGAAACCAATATTCCATCCCATGGTCAATGGAATCTGACATGCTAGCCCTTGACTCTTGGAGAACGAGGGTGGTCGTTTCTACACTTTGGAAAGGACAAGGGACAACGCGCAATTAAACAAGCCGGACCAGGTGTCCAGGTGTTTGAAAGTGATCCTGGACCTTAAGTCTATTGCGAGCGAACGCACAGGGCACTGCTTCGCTGGAAGTGGCGTAGCTCAAATGAAATGGTTTAGGCACCTTGAGGCCTTAAGTGAAAACGCCATTCAGATCACCTTTTTATGAATCCAACCCAAAAGCAAACAGTTTTTCTCAGTGGATACTTCTCTTTCATGCGCTTCGCGGGATGGATTCAGTGGGCTGAAAGGGGTGATCAACACACTGGCGGTGTCGCCAATCTTCTCAAACTTGAGGCCAAGACCTTATCTTCCAAGATTCTCCGTTCCGCTTGAAGCTCAGTGTCGAACCTACCATCCGAAGTAGGGAATGGGTACTGTTCCTTCGAACATCTTCGATTTGGGCCCAGCAGGACTGAATTGGGACCCCATAGGCGCATGATTGGGTCATCGCTGCTCAGTACACGGCCTGGAAGTGATGAATATTGAGCTTTAGCCAGCGTGGGCTTCGAAGGTTTCATTGTCTGCTCGACATAGCTTGGATTATAGGTGATGCTCCAACTGCCTTTGTCCAACACAGCTTTAAGGTGTACTAGGTTCATCTCTCTGGTGCGGCATTCAATGAGCATGATGTCCTAAGAACCAGTTTCGGTCCTTTCGCAAGGCACGAGTCCAAGCCACGGTTAAAGACTTTGACTTTTGACTCCCAAAAGCCACGGGGCGTCCGGCACGTTGTCGTACATGCTTTTGGCGTCTGAAACCAAACCAAGGGGCCACTGACATAGCCTGCAGTGCCATCACCTTTCAAGACCTCAAACCCTTTGGATTGTGCAATGACGTGTCGACGAAACAAGCCAGCGTCGAACGCTTCCCGCGACCTGAGCAAGTGTGCACCAAAGGTGGAACCTGCACACATGACCCAACCCCGTGGTTGCTGGCATCAAGCACATCAAACTTTCCTTCACGACCCTTCATCTAAATCTTGATCGCAAACTGACTGATGACCGGTGGTGTAGAGACGCATCTGTGATGATCAGAATTCCGGCCCCATCCAAACTCATGGGGCCGAAGCGAAGTTTGAAGCCTGGATGTTGCTTCGTCCACCTCACCAAAGCATTTGCTGTCAGCAAAGTCTTCACCAACGGAGGCTCTCCTTCAAGGACACTCAGTAACCCATACCCCAACGCACTTGAGCAATGAACCATTGGAAGCTGCCAAGCACGGCTCTCAACTGACGGTTCTCCGCAGGATTGACAGAGCTGTGCACCCAACTGTTTCTTGCGATGAATGGGAACAGAAACTGGCATGTTTTTGTGACATGCACGCATACTCGCTTCAGGAGCTGTGATTGGAAGGTTTGTGCTTAGCTCAAAAAATATGGAATCTGTGTATTTCAATCAATTGATTTCACTAGGGATAAACTAGGGTACCAGAGCATAGGGGTTGAGGCACATAAAGGCCTGCTAAACATGATTGGATTTAAAAGGCAAAAAGACATAAATGGCAAGTAAAGACAACAAAAGACAGACAAAGACAACACACACCAAAACAAAGACAAACCAAGACATGTTGGGCACGCAGCCAACATCAACTGCACAAACAAACCAAGACATGTTAGGTGCGCAGCCAGCATCAACTGCAAAGATAAACCAAGACATGTTAGGCACGCAGCCAACCACATTTTGCTGTGGAGCAATGGCATCATCCTCTCAAGTATAAACATGGCATACACGCCATGCTATCAAATGTTCAAACCATTTGCCGCTCCACATTGGACATTAGAGATTTGACAGTCTGAAATTTGACTGATGTACCTGCCAAGCATGAGCAAACAAACAGAAGGAACTACAGTGTGTGGATTTCTTCGTTGAATGTCTGCTCAAAAGCCTTGATTTTCACCGCTCACAATGTCAGATTATACCTTTAATATCTGTCGCAACAGTTATATAACTGTCTGCTGCTCACAACGGTCCTTTCTGTTTGTTAAATCAAGCCTGGACCGTCCTTTTCTATAGAGGTTCCATGTCTAAGCTGAGAGGAGGCAGCCACCCTCAACGACCCCATGGCCAGGATGGGGCCCTTTTTGCTGGCAAAGAATGTGGACTTTCTCTTAGGAGTGGAACTCTTGCTTTGCAGTTCGTCCTTGCCCGTGTGCCTGCACTCTCAACAAATGACATATAGAGTGGCTCAGCGGCTCCAGTCGTAACGATGTAGAGGTGCCAGGGACTGGGGTGGGTGCCAGGGATCGAATACCGGAGGGATATAGATATACCTAGAACCTGATTGTCCCCTGTTTTGGAGCCAAACATGGTGTTTTTCCGATCAAAACATGTGTCAACCAGGTTGCAGGTGTATATACTATATATATATAATTACCTGGAACCCTCCAACGAGTGAAGCAACTGTGTCTGACTCCGTTGCTGATCCGAACATCAAGGTGAACCTGTTTTGGAGTTTGGGTGGGGGAACCGGTGCACCGGAAGAGTTTATAGTGGTTCCCAAATAGATAGATACTGAATGCGTTGCAATACATTCTTAGTGATCTACTTTTCTATCTATTTGGGGACCACTGCAAAATGAGTTAAAAGGCGAACCACTTTTCCTGGGTGGGCTCTCGGTGGTGCAAATCCACCATCCTCCCGGTGCGGACGTGTAAAGTCGATTTGGGTCGCAGCACTCGGCTTTCGTCCCAGCAAGAAAGAAACAGCAGGTGTGCCTTTTCCATTGCCAAACCATCCATGTATGGAATAGTTGTACTGTATACATTCGCATTGTTCCAAACATATCATATGTTAATAGACGCGATATATGCTAACCATATATGCTACTTGATAGAGCCATACGTATAACTTATATAATGTATACTCTTGATTCATAAACCTCCCCTTGAAGAATTCAAACGGGTTGGTTGGTGTATTAATCAAGAGTCTACATTATTATACATATGTGACTGTGCATACATAGACCCTCACTATGACCCAAATGTAGGTAACATTCAAGATGGGAGGCATGATCCTGTCTCGTAGACCCTGTCTGACTCGGTGTCGACCAACTGCAGTGATCCACAGTGACCGGTGAAAAGCCAGGGAGCCCTTTAGGGCCAAACGGTTTGCGACCCCAATGAATGAAATTGGCTACGTCTTGATTGACGACGAGAACATGGGAAATGCCGAGTCCACATGAATCTAACTGAGACCTAAAGGCATCTAAAGGCATCTAATGTAGACTCTCGATGATCTTTCAACCCCCCCTCATCCTTCGGAAGATTCGGACCTTTGCAACATCTATGTCTTTTCGGGACGTTCTGCTCCCAACACGAGTCACGACGGAACCCAACGGCGGAAAAGAACCGAAAAACGGACCTTCCACGACTCATCGCGGACCACCACACCGCCGAGCGGCTCACTGGGGTCGACGCCTCCCCGGGTGGAACGGGGTGGACCCCGGTGGATCGACGTGCTGAGCGGAGCGATGTTTTCCATCGACACCCCGGGTGGAAGAAAACATGGACGCCGTGGGAAAGAAGACACGAACAATCACGAACCAACCCGCAGGGAGCATGTTTTCTGGAACCGAACCTCCGACGCAATGGATTTCACTGGGAAAAACACCACATCACCAAGGTGCAAACCCGCCAGGTGTTGATCTCGGTGCTTACGATGGTGGTGAGCTAATGCTGAGCGACCAAACAGCGATTGCATTGTCCGATGATTCATTTTCTCTTGGTTTGTCTTCATAGGACGAGTGCTAAGACTAGACAATATCATATTATCCATGAAATTTGCAAGTGCTTCAAGAAAGCAAGTCTCCTCATATAGACATCTTTACAATGCGCCCGAACGGTTCCTGGCAACAAATGAACATATATTGAATTCTACTCGTGCATTGCATGATGCTCCAAAATGGTCCATTCATGTCCATTCCCTCTGATATGTTTGTCTCGAAAGGTTTCATTGAATTGCAAAATGAACCTTGATGGAAGGTAGATGCGGGCATGTTCAAGAGGCAGCATGTTCAATGAAGGCAACCCGCCCAAATCGATGCTAGGGAACTCGAAGGTTTAGTGCCACTAAGACACACAAACCTCCACCGAATCTTAGCACTTGACATTGCCAGAATCAACCAGAAACGGCTCCAAACCACTTGATGTTGCCTTTCTTTTCAGAAAACTCTTTAAGATGTCTGAAGCAACAAAAGACAGATATTCTCTCTGTAAAAAGGGAAGCATGTCAAACAAACATGCTACAGGCACTGCAGCACAAGAATCTACTCATCGTGCTTATGAGTTCTAATGAGTCCGTTGGAATGTCTCACTTAGATGACTTCATCATACTGGTATATATAAAATATGCTGCAAACATGGTCCAACAAACCATTTGCTAAACAAATAAAGGTACCCGTATGAACCGAAGTGATCTCTATTTGGAACTATATAGGTATCAGGCTATCTTGAAAAAATTGGCCTGGTCATCAAAACAAACGCCAATCGGTGTTTACATGAGTTTACATGTGTATACACACTCCTGCCTTGAATCAGCAACCCCGACTCTCGGCGAGACCCAGAACCAAAGAACCAATGCATTTTCTTTAATTCATTCTACGCAACACCCAAAAACATGAGAACACTCAAACCCCTCTAGACAGGTACAGTCAGCCAGTTGTATATCACGTCCACTCAAAAAGATATATATTTACCAACAATACATAAAAACACATGTCTATTTCATACCTCGTTCTAGATGATCCAGCCCTCTGCCTTTTCAACACCTGAACCAAAACTCCCTGTTGCTGTTGCTGCTTCCTGCCACCGGCGTCCGACCGCGGAGCCCGGCTGGGTCCCCGCCTTCGGCACCGTTGGCCAGGTAGCTGTGGAGCTCGTCGGCGCTGAAGCGGCTCAAGGGCACGCGGCAGGTGTCCACGAGGAACCACAGTTCCTGCCGATGCGAGGAGCGGACGCATCCGTAGTCACACCCAAACACGACTAATGGGACTGCCATAGAACAGTGTGGCATCATACATGGAGTGTCTGGGACATGGAAGTGAGTGGAACATGGCCCCCCCCCTTGGAAGACCCTGTTCGCTTCAGACCGCATAAGGAGGTGAAGGTCCACCGTGTTTCACGGTGACGCCCTCCTCGCGGAGAGCGAAACGGCTCCGCGGTCAGCGGAGCGAACGGGGACGGGGCGGGTGGCGCATCGGAACGACGGAGGTCCGGGACGGGCCAAAGACACCGAGTCCTTCGGTGCGACGTTCGAGTGGAGGTGCCAGTGTTTGGGGGACGGGGGCGGTTTTGGTTTTCGAGTGCCTCATCGGAACTACATGGCCATCCGAGTCCTTCTGACCGGTGCCATGTCAACATATGATTCCTGGTTTGGGCGGGGGAAGCGAGACCGCTACCCCTGGATTCGCGAGACTGGTGTGGGATGTGGGGTGGGGGTGGGTCGATGTGAATCCATCGGCGCAGCATGACTTGAGATCCAAGGTGAACTGAAGCGGGAAACCAATCCTCCCCCCAAAAAGTCAAACAGTTATTAGTACGATTCTTGTCCCCACACCCAACAGAACCCAAGATTCGGAAAAAACGCAATCCTGTGGTCAGGTTTTAAAGGGAACAGTGGGAGAGTCTGAGATCACTTAGCCCCAAACAAAGCACTTAGAATGACAAACATGCTCTGTTTCCTGAAGGTTGCAACCCTTCAGAAGGAGGTTAGAGCCTGCAAACACATTGAATACATACAAAGGGGATCAAAGAGGTCAGTATGTGAATCCCTTTTGGGATTCGACATGGAGCATGGTCTCTACATGTCTACACTTGGGGTTGCGCCATGGGCAGCGAGTGACAAGCTGTCCCACCAGCGGCCACACCCGAAGTGCTTGTTGAGACTGAAAGAAGGGTTCCCAGGGCCAGTCGGGGCCGAACAGAAGTCTGTCCTTTCGCTCTAAAAAACAAGTTCAACTGAAGGCTCAGAGCCTGTCCAGTTCGTGGCTTGGCCCCTGGGGACAGGTGCGATGTGCTTTATGCCAGCATTGCACCGGGAAAGGTGCGCACGGACTCGCAACGTCAGAACGGACCGACTGCGGCGTTGTTGGTGGTGGTCGAAAAACGCCCGTTCCTTCGGGATACCGAACGTGAACACCCGCCGGTTCGCGCCGGGATCCCAGGATCTGGTGTGTGATAGCAGGGGTCTAGCTATACCAGAACCATGCAATTTTCAAGGGATCCAGTTACCACTATAGCTGGGAGCCCCAGTGGTTCCAAAGACAAAAACCATAGACCGAAGGAATCCCTGGTTCCTTATATAGTGCTTTGCCTGGGATCCACCGGGATTGATCTATCAAACAAAAGACGCACCCGAGAGCGTCCACCGTCCATGCGACGCAGCTATGCTCCTCTTTGCCCACTGAGAGCTGGTTGAGCGTGCGCAAACCCTCAGGGGATCGGACGTGACAGCAGCAGCATGACCCGCTGGTTGAGGCGAGAGCTGGTTGAGGCGTCACATGGGATCACCCGTTTGGATGTTTGGATGGGAAGGAAAAAGCAAGATGGTGTGAAAGTATTCCAAGATCTATCCAATATAGCTCCCTTCCCTGCACTGGAATATTTGATTTACATGATTGTAATCACCCGACGTGTTCCCTGCCAAATTGCATCTGTTTCTTGACGACCCTACTTGCATTGGAATGGTGCAAGCTGCAGCGCCACCATATGACCACCACTGCAGTCCCAATCTCTACGACAGAAACAAGTGTCAAAAAATGCAGAAGACCGTGGCATACTGTATACTCCCAAACCAATATAAAATCTATGGGAAGCCCATCGGTTTAGAGCGAACGCATGTGAAAGCCATGCTTTCCTGTAGATGTTCCCTTCAACCAATTCTGGGACATACGGGAGGTCAAGGGTGAAGGAAGGAATATGAGTCTGAATTCTGGCATTCATCTGATTACCATCATGCACAGCTTGCGACGCGATCTCGCCATATCTCGCCTACAAAATGCTTTCCCAGGGGGTAGCCCACAAGGACCCTGGACATGATTTACGGGATATCGTGCGCAAATATATACAAATATCAAATATATAATATATATATATATATATATGTCGAATGATTTGTTGACTCTTTGATGTCTGCTGATTGTCCGCTCTTTTTACATAAACACATGTCAAATCATGTTTCCCAGGATTCTTCCGCAGTGACTTGTCTCGACACCAGCCGGATCCCCACTCTGAGAATGGACCATTCTGTAAGCCAGGCTTCTTCCCTTTAGCACACGGAAAGCAATGCTGCTCGGTGATTTGGGCCCTCAACCCTAAGAACCCGTGGGCCTTCCATGGCAGGGGTCGGACCCTAAAAAAAGCAGGGTCCGGACCCGAACCAAACCCAGTCCCAGGATGATTGGCGTCCAAAGAATTACCTACCCAGGAAGGACGTGGATAACAATAACCTGCAAAACCTTTCTTGAGGAGTGATGGAGTGGTAGCCCACAAAATATGAACGGAAAAAGGCTAACCTTTTTTTGGTCAACCCATAGCTATAGGGTATCACTTAACCTCTGTTGGAAGTACTTGACGCCGGACTTTCCAAGGAACACGATGGACCATGAACACCACGCAGGACGCAGGACCTCTTCAGAGCCCGACTGGGTGAAGTCATAGGCCCGTTGGCTACGAAAGCATAGTCCTTCTCATGAAGTCCTTCATGACTGTTGCTGGTAACGCTTCTGGGTGGGAAAACCGCTAGGAGCTGCAGCTAGCTAGCTGTGGGGTGGCCCACTTTTGCGACCATGGAGAGTCGGTCCTCAACTCCAAGAATCCAGCCCCGAACCAGCACATAGGGTGTGGCTGGTCTCCGCAAAGAGAACCACGGACGGTTCAGATCTCAAACTCACCTGTGGTCACCATCTGCGAACCAATTATCTCAAACGATCCATGCTGGCGGATCCATATGACCTGCATGGATTCACGACCTAAACGAAACACCAGTCAAACGGGGCGGCCATACTTCCATCGCCGGATCCATCGTCTGGGTGTTCGGCAAACGTCTGGAGACCCGTCAAGGGGCGTTGCCAATGGCCAGGGCCTCTAAAAGCCTCGGTTTCAACGGGGCTTTTAGTCCGCACCGGCCGCCCGTTCGTGAAAATAAGGTGCTGTGGTCTTTGGCTGCAATCATCTTCCTATAACTGACACGGCCCATGTGACTGGCATCTACCTGCATGAGGTGCTTTTCGTGGGTAATGTAGGCATATATTTTGTTGAGGAGGTGATATGTCCTGAGACTATGCTGAAATGTGCTGAAACACAACGGCCCATTTCTGTCCTTTTGGAGTGTGGGCCATGTGGGATCACCCTGTGGCCTTGTAGAGGCACGGTGGGAGTGATTGAGCACCAAGTACCCAATGGTGCGGACTGACAGCCAAGCTGGTAATGTTGATGGAGCCGTCATTGTATTATAAATATGGCAAATATGTTATTGTGGTGATCGAGTGCTTTAATGGTGACACCTGGAATGCCGTGCATGGATACGAGTCCCATGTTCAAGGTGGCAGATTGTCATAGCTGATTTACGTTGGACTGGAGACTTGTTGGTTTGAACAATGCTACTTCTACAAAATCATGTGTAGAAGTGGCATTAAGTTTCCAACGGGTTTCCTGAACTAGACAAATATATACCAAAAAAAATATTATATATATATATATTAATATTGAACATTTAAAGCAAGTTCCCCCACCCCCAAAAAATGTGGTGTGCTCTGGTAAAACCAAGTATTGTTCGTCTGATTTGTTCGCTTCACTTGATTCACCGGCCCGCCCGGTGGAGATATCCCCTGGACTTGGCCAAGCAGCTCTCTGAGCTGGTGTTCCTTCACCACTTGCTGAAATCTTAGACGGATGTTGCCTGAAGAGAATGAACAGTCAAGCCTTGTGCAGGCCGGACAAAGGCTTGACCAAGTCCAAGTATCACGGAATGTCATGGGTAACTGATGGAACACTATCCATTCTCCAAATCATGAACATGGAAGTGGAAAACGACCTTTTGTAGAGACAAATTTTCCAAAAGGCTTATTTTCTTCCATTACTATCTCCTAGGGAATGCATATGCAGTGGTGCCGAGTCTTCCACTGGCCTGTGGATGTTTCACTTCTGTTTCGGACGTCCGTTGGACGAGAAGGTGTTTACCTTGAGACTCTACTATTCGCAAGTCTTAAGCCTAAAAGGTCGTTTCTGCGAGTATTTAAGAAAGACCCAGCTCCTCATGTTTGTGCTGCTAGTGTTCTCTTCAGTTTCCCTCAGCTGGCCCAAAAAGCGTGGAGTGTGATTCTCTAAGCCATTCGCCATTAACTGTATGTGGCCTTGTAAAAAAAGGCTGTTACTGACTGCTACATGTAATAGGACAGACCCAAACTATTCAATCATATTGAATCTGTGGAACACAGCATTCAGCATATACGAGTGGAGCTGGACCAACTTCCATTGACTGCACAAAAACACAGCACAGGACATCCGGACCATCTACAAGTAACATCTTCAGCCCAGCCGTGTGATTGGTGCCGTGCTTTTTGTCCAAACCTGAGTGTCTACAGCCATCTTCCCTTCAATTGACATGGTCATCAATTCAACAATGGCCGTTCTCGGACAACAGGAAGGCGCGTTTCCACTCCACGTCTTCGCCAAGCAGCTGTGGTAGTTGTTTGGTGTGCAAAAGGTCCATCCTTGGTGCGCCAAGCCGGGTTTTGGGCCCATTAGGAGGAACCATATAGGATTGGCATGTATGATTCATATATTTATATATATATATGTGCATAATTGTGGCATATGTTAGGAAATGTTAGGAATACATACCAGTAATTACCAGTATATATTCATTGATATCTTTATATCATTTACCTGCCTTGGCTGTGTTTTGGGGGGGGTCAATACCTTTCATTCATGGCATGTCCGGTAACCGGATGCTGGTGTTTGGTCGTTCATGTCTTTGATGCCAACGAGTGAAAGCTTCGCCACTCACATGGCAGAGACTCTCGGAGCGCACCGGCACTGGGGGACTCAAGACGTGCCATCCGTTGATGTGACAGGGGCACCAAGAAGCACCCAACTCCATGGTTTTTCTGCAGTCTTTTTGTTTCTTCTCGATTCCTTTTTAACTGTTTCTGTTTTGATTCAGATCCAGAACACGACAGTGGAAGACGCCAGATCACCAATGGGGACCCTTGAACCTTCCTTCCACAAAACGCTGTTGACCCTCCGGCCTCAACTCGTCCTATCCGATGCCAATGAAAGAACATCTTCGGTCCTCAACCCAAAGCCAGGTCAAGTACTATTGCCCCTGGGAAAGTGAACTAGGATCCCATTGGAAGCCAAAACGCATCGCTTGGAAGGACAAAACTGCTTTTGAAGAGCTTAGTCATCACCCCGAGGAATACACAGAATTCAACATTCAGACCTCGAGAATTTGTTGCCTCGATGCAGGACTCGAGTTGCCCGTGGTTTCCCTGCACTCCAGCAGCACATGCTTTCCCGCACAAACCGAAACGCAAACGAGATGCCCAAGAACTGCTCCTGGTCTAGCACTCCCAAGCCCTGAAAATCCTGAGATCTTCGCATGGCAGGCTTCGCCATGGCGAAGCGCTTCAGCGGTCGTCCAATGGCGAAAAGGGAAAATGAAATAAATCAAAAAAGCATACATTCCACATTATACCACTCATCCCACCCCAGTGTCCAAGAAGGGGCTGGATTGATCAAACTCCTGATGATTTTCAGATTGTTCTAGGGGGATTAGTAGGAGAGAGAGCGCGGCATGGGTCTTTCCTCCTTGCCGGCTGTGATCTGGCTCTGCTCCGCTAAAGATCAACCGTTTGCAGCCCAAAGCTGCAAATTGTGGGGAGAATCAAAGGCAACACCAACAACAAATGCTTCTCCCAACGATCTCGGCTTTGGGCTGCAAAGGAGTTGAACCGGATCCCAAGGATTTTGGACATACTGCTGCACAAAAGGGAACGTATGTACCTGGACCTTCAAGGGGTGTCCAATGGAGGTCCCTAAGTAGGGCAGGGGCTTCCATTGGTGACCCCTTTGAAGGTGCTGGTATGTGATATAGCAAGCTGGCAGCCGTCAACTCTTTCCAGGAGTTTCTGCTTTCTGAGACCAGGCTCCGCGAGAAACAAGTGCGAGGGACGCGACAGCAAGAGAGCTGTTCGAGGAGAGCTATTTCTTGTCGTGGCTGTCTAGGATCCATACCCTAGGGATCCACGTACCTTGTCGAAGGTGATTGGAGGCTATGTATGTAGGTTTGGAGGGTCCAGCCGTACCTTCTGAGGTTCGGTACGGCTGGATCCCTAGGGATAGGCTGTAGGAAAACCAATCACCCGGTCCGCAGGTCAGCCCGCCGGATGTTCAAAGCATTCGGTGCTTGGAGGAGTCATTTCCAGGCTCTGGATGTTGGGAGATGCATGGCCGCCATATCCCTGTTTGGTGGCTGCAGATCTGCAAAAACATGTCAGTGGGAGACCTTCTTACTCCAACATGTCAAACTTCCTCAAGATGTATGGAATTCCACTTCGCAAGCATGCCTAATCATTGTCTACATTCTACATATGTTCAACATCTCCATCACAGATACTGGTCAAGATCTCATCAAAATACACTTCTCTTCTTAGAAGTTGCCAAAGCATGGAGACCCTCACCGACACCATCCCACACCATCCATGGGACTGGAATAGGAATTTACATCCTTCACCCCGCATCTATGTAACAATCTCCAGTCCCAATCGTCTGGTAGGAATGACTTCATCCTTGCGGCTTCGAGGTCATATACTCATATACAAATACATATTTTTGTTGAAGACATGTGGCAAGTGGAACGCCCACTATAGGTTGGTATTCTAGAAAGAACCTGGTGCGTTTGAACTCATTTTCCCCTTCCATGTTGGAATTCGAATTATATAGGGCCTAACCATATCCTCAGAAGGTGGTTAGACCCCCAACCCCACCCCAACTATCTTGTCAGGAGGTAGTTGATGGAGCCCTAGGGATGCACTTTATTGAATCTGACAATTTCAAAAAAAACAATCGTGCAGGACCAGAGTACGCCAAGCATCCAATGCCTCGAAGATGGCATTACTCCACTCTTCCGACATGGCATCCTGGTTCGACCGATCCATGGCACTGGTTCCAGAGGCGAGAAATGGCACCCCATATCACCCGAATGATGTCCAAAAGCCGAGCTTGGGAGTTCATAAACTTAGCTTTATAGGGGATATATACTCTGCCATACTCATGATGTCAATGTAGTTTCGGGTCAAAGGCCTGGAAAATCCGATGCACGGAGCTGTCCTTGCCCTGGGCAATGGCAAAGAGCATCTCCGCAAAAGCTTTCTTGTCCAGCAAGCCTCGAGCTCCACATGACGTGAGATGTTCCATAAAATGCTGATGAAAACGCGCCTTTAGGATGAACATAGCTTAATATACATTCCCGAGAACTAAAATGGAAGTGGAAAATGGCCTCTTGGAAGATCATTGTTTCCCCTACAATGTGGGGTTTTCCACTTCCATGTTAGTTCCAGAGAAAGTATCGATCTGTATTTCACATACCGTATTGTTATGTAGACTGATTTTGTTTCAACCCCCATATGAAGAGGATTGTCCAATTCAAGTGGGGGATTCATGAAGCAAGAGTCTAAACGTGACTCAGTCTGGCCCTCTTCGTCTCGTGACTCAGTCTGAAGAACTTGCCTACCGACAAAAAGACTGGTGTCATCTGGTCAACAGGAAAAGTGATGTCCGGTGGAATAACAGTTTGATGTTGTTTTTGGTGAAGATAGTGAAGGCCATTGCTATGAATCACTCTTGGTGAGGTCTCCATCTCTCCATGGGTGCTTTAACATGCTTTAACCAATTGTAAACATCCATATCGTGTCTTGTCAAGAGCTTATCTTGCATCAAAGTTCCCACATTGCAAGCTACTGAGCCAAAACATGAATCATAGAAACATTAGAAACCAACACCAGGCTGGCATGCTTGGTCACGGGACACGCTTGTAACATGCACGCCTCTTCCACCCTTCCAAGGTCGTGGTCCTAATACTGCACCACTTCTTGATTTTTCCCGGGCTCGATGACGCAACGGTCTTCTGAAGTTGACCTCTGAATTTCCAGGTCCGAATCATGTCAGACCAACAGAATCCCACACAGATTCATCAAGGCCAGCTTCACCCGTCGGATGAGCTGAGAACCAACATCCGGAGGTCATGAAGCTGAAGGAAAGAACGAACGAGGATTCTTGATGATTCTTGAGGTTCCCACATGAGATTATAGTGGATTTCATTGTCCCCGGCAAAGACTTTGGAACTGGTGCAAGGGAGCCGTTGATTCGCAACTCCAGGAACTGGAATCCAAACACACCGAGACTTGGGTCACCGCCTGTGTTTCCATACGCGCGCACCTGGCGGATTACCCGCCATGAACGCAAACAACACAGGGACAGGAACATGTCTGCAAGGAACATGTCATGTCCATTCATTTCACACACGAATCATGACTGTATCCTGTATCCCCTAATGTCACACAGGATTCTGTCTAACATGTCAAATTTCCTTAGTGTCCTTAATCTGCAAATGGACCATACTAAAGACTATATTTCGTTGTGTGCTGGTCGGTCTTGACACCCTATACCCCAAGCGCAGAATCCCAGATTGCAGGATTAGAACGAAAGAAACACTCGGTCTAGCTTTGTACGTGTCGTTTTGGATGGTTCGGCCCCTGCTCACCTCAGATTGCCAGAGTTTGGTGTTCGTCGCTAGACTTGTGGATCTGGAGCGATGGGAAGTTGTTCGCCCCTCCAGATCCAATCCTCCAATCCTGTCGACGACCCAGTCCCCATGTCGACTGCGGGAGTCGGCTTTGCCCCTCCGTTTCTGTCGACATAGGCTTCCAGGTTAGGTCGTTGTGTCATTGTTGGTTGACTTGGATTTGCTTAAGGAACCGGCAAGACATGCTCAGAAGAGAATTCATTGGAAACAACAGCGCCCCTACACCAAAACCAAGCTGATCTGGGTCCGAATGAACCTCACTCCATGTGGATCACACTCCTCGCTTCGACGACCACGTGAAGCTCCGCAACGAGCAGAATCCGATCGGATCCTCCCCAACTTGTGGCACTGAGGTGTCCATGGAGAAAAACATACTCCACTCCACATATACCTGGACCCTCCAAGGCGTGCCCAATGGAAGCCATCCTAGGTAGTGTGGGGTAGTCCAGCCAGGACACCCATTGCATGATCCTGGTATATATATATATAGCCTGAGGACCCCCTCAGGATAAGTTGCTACTGAACTTGCTACTAAGTACTAGAGCTGTGCCACTAGGAGCACGAACAGCCGCTGCCTGCAGGAGTTAAGAGTTCGCAGCTCCAGGGTGTTCACCCGTGTGCACCCAGGCACACAAATTAAAGGTGCATCAAGTGGCGAAAGGCAGGCTTTCAGGTGTCCTCTTCGGCAGTTCTTTGGTGAGTTGGAATGTTATACCGCCTTTTGTCATGCGAACTCATCCAACTGTCTCATCGTCATGTGTTCAGTTAAACTTCTTTTTCAACTCATCCCAGCGGCCGACCCTGGCTTGAGGCTCTGCCTGAACCCTCCCATCGCCGCCTTGTCGTGATGATCGAAGAAATCCATGGCCGTTGGGACGTCCAAGACCCGGACGCTCGGCGGCAGCCTGGGGTCCATCTACGAAGAAAACGCCGCAAGCTCAGCGGAGATCTCGACTAAGACTTTGGCGTTCGGATTTTTTGGTTGTTTGATTTTGACACTTGGGGAGTTTGAAGTTGAAACTTGGGGAGTTTCATCAAGTCATGTTGATGGACAATCCAGCTCTCAAGCTTTTTTCTGACTGGATCTTTGGGAAAACATAGTGCAACCATGGAAGGCCCATTGACAATTCTAATGTAGGTGCGGATTGGACACTGGGAGGTTCACGGGAATGGGAAAGAACCCTGAGCTTGATCAAACAATTTCAGGGTCGGGATGGTCAGGATGCACCCACCACCCTCCTGGGTTTCTGTCACACAGAACCTGGAAGTGTTCAATATATATATATATATATAGAGATAGACTCATCCCTCAAATGCTTTGTGATGCACACTCTGCCACCTGCCATAACCACCATAAACAGGGGGGCATGAGGAACAACATAGAACTACCAAATTTCATGAAGTGAATCTGTGTTTGATGTTTGAGTTGAATCCCAAGTCATCACTGGTTTCTTGCTGAAAGGATGAGCGTTCACGTTCCATTTCATGCTAGCTTCACAAAGTCACATGCACAAATGAACTAGCAAACAACTGCATGGCGAAAAGTTCACTCAGGCGTTTTTCAGGTTCTAGACTAGGAACCATATTGGGGAACTGCCTGTCTAGTTCTCCTTAGCGCACTTCAGTCGCTCAAGAACAGAGTTACTCCAAATCATGCCAAATCTTCTGGATTGAGAACAATGTCTCCCCCAACCAAAGCTCCATGACAAGCCACGAATGGACACAAGTGTAAACATTCCGCTGACAGTCAGTATAAATAATTGGAAATAACGTATATTATACAGTAGTTGAGCTCTCCACTTCCATTGCACATCTCATATGGAACTCTCACACACCACTGGTTTGCAAGGGAACACTGGTCAGGAATAAGACGTTAATAAACGTGTTCCTGAAAAAAAAGAAAAAAACAGAACTATAGGCTTCCCGTGTACCAGTATGTGCGTGTGTTGAAGGCACCAAGCGAATTTCCTGCCTGGAGGTATTCTGAGAGATCTCCTCCTGACTATTCTGACTTCACTGGAACCTGCTAAATTCTGTTTGATCTTTCTCCCCAATGTAGGCCTCTGCGATAAAAAAGAACAGCGAAAAACCCTACGGACCGAGCGGCAGCTGATGCCCGGGCAGGGCAGGTGGGTCCAAATCTGTAAAGCTCGAGGTGCCTCCTGCGGTGGACATCGGGTGGCGGTTTCCGAGGGGGGCCTTGCACCCTGTAGCATTTTTGGGGCCGTACTTGGCCCTCCAAATTGGGAATGTGTTCAGTGTCAAAGCTGAAATACCAAACCTAGAGGCAACTGGACTCTTGCTGCGGAAGCGACATCCGCAAGAGAAGCTCAGAAAAGCATCACAATAAGAAATCATATATGAACATACATATGTGAACAGTAAAAGACTCGTTGCCCTGCTGCTTGAGCTTTGACTGGTGAAAGATCGTACTTCATCACCCCTTCACAGAATCTCTCCACCACGTGGCACCGACCACAGGTGCCCGTCATCTCCGGTGCGTCATGTCCACCGACCGGGCAAGAGCGCAAAAGCCTCACACCCGGCGCCCGAGTCCTGCACTGCACCTTTTTTCGGATCCTCTCCCGCGAGTCGCGGGGCATCCGCGCTGGTTGCGCCGATAGACGCACGGCGACCTTTAGGCCCAACGTCGTGCACCCCTATGCTCGGAACCCTGTTTTAAGCAAGGGCACGGGAAGGATTACCAAAACGAGTTTCACAGTTTCACAAAGAACACCGATATCGTTTTTGCGCCAACCCTTCCACCATGCTACCAGCAACTAGGGTCCGAAATGACATTCGAAAATCGGGTGAAACCTACCACCCACCGCGGCTTCCGCGGTTTCCACCCACGCCCTGTTGGCGGTAGGCGAGTGGAGATCGTCGTGAAAGGCCCGTTGATGCACGACGTTGGCTTCTGGACAGCTCTTGGTCACCTCTATCTCTCCCTGCAGAGTCTACCTGTCTCACAAGTTGCATTAATTGTATCACACCTATATATAACACTATAGGCTCTCTCCCCCTCTCCCTCTCTCTCGCTGCTATGCCCTGCTCATGTCTCTTTTTCTCAAGCCAATGCCAACCCCACCACCGTTACAGCTCCAGTCAATGCCCTCAAACTACCTCTTCAGCACGCTCAGCACGCTTCACGCACCACAGTGGGGTTGACCATCGACTGCTTCACGACTCTGACGTCCTTCGCGATCTGCTTGATGGCCTCCCCAATCGCCATCTGTCTCTTGGGACAGTGAATCAAAAATGATAGGGGAGGGCTTAAGGGCCCCCCCTGTGAAAGACCCTAGGAATAATTTAAAATTATTCTGACCCCCCTTGAGTTAGTTTTCAAAAATTATTCTGGTAACTGGTTGAGTTCCAGGAATATTTTTTAGCTTTCTCTATATCTTCATATAAAAAACATATCAACACAGCGACTCACACAGCAAGAGCAATCTGACATAATCTGACTCATTCTGATGAACCGTTTTTATCATCAAATCGCCATATTGTGAAAGACTTCGACATGGCTGCAAAATGCTGCCAATCTAAAATCTAAATCTGAACATTGGTTTTCCTACGTTTTCCTTGGTTTTGTACATGGCCAGCGATTGCTAGCTTCTTGTATTCCTTATATATCCTTATATATATTTGTTGTTTCTTGATGTTTCTTGTTTGAGCCTCTCACTCGCGTCCAGCTGCTGACTTCAGATCATCAAACGTCGCAACTTGAGTATTCTTGAAAATTATTCCAGGGGGCCCTATGACTAGCCCTTTGATAAAATAATAATCCACCAAAATTATTCCAAAAAAATTATTCCGCTATCCCACAGGTCCCCTGGAATAATTAAATAAGCCATCCCCTATCAAAAATGACCCTTTTGATGAATAGATGTCATACCACCAAAAGCACCTGCATTCTTCACGCGTAGAGTCATGGAATGAACAATGTTCTAAGGTCCGTAAGGTCTTGCTATCCACCCGAGCTCATGTATCCCTCCGTGCCAACAGCGCACCCACGGCTCGCTCGCACCTCTCGGGTGAGCTTGTTCTCCTGAGATGAGCCCAGATCGTTTAAAGGTGGTTGAGCTTGGCGGTTGGCAGTTGCCATGCCGGTTTTTGATTCACAATAGGCATCGTGAGTAAAAACAAACCATCACTCTTGCGACATCGTACACGCTCGTTTCTGTGCGCAAATCTGCCAGGTTCGATCAAACGACGTGACGTGACCGACCCGCAGGATCTAAGCCAAAGCCCCCAGGTTTTTGAGTGCCAAGAGTACCAAAGAGCTGCTGGCTGAGTGGTGGGGTCAGTAGGAAAACCATGAAACAACTGGATGACCAGTGGAAGTTCCACCTCATCAAGGATCAGTTGATGGCTTGACAAGGACATGTTTTGAGGTTGGACATTCATGAAGCATGCATGCAACCAAGAGAGGTTCAACTGGTGCCACCACCTGTTCCAAAACCCCCTGTTCCAATGCTAAACAAAAGCCACACATCAATGTGGCGCGCCATGTTTCGTAACCCATCTTGGCCACTTGCAAGCTTTGGGCCGGCCCGCGCAATTGCATGCATCCAGATACAAACCTCTCAAAATCAGCGGTCGGCGGAGCTGTCCCGATGGTGGAAGAGGTGATCGAAAGGGTGTTTCTTGCCCAACCTGAGGCTCCACGAAGAGTTGTGCGTAGTTTTTGTTTCTAAATGAAGTGTATGAGGAACAGTGTTCCAAAAGAAAATGACTCCCCCAGAGATTCGTTGAACTGGAACGATGGGCCCCTTCCCAATGAATGGCCGCCATCGCTCACCGATGACGGACCATGTCCCAGCACCGAACCGACGACCGGTGTGGTTCTTTCCCAGATTTGGAGAGCCCGAACTCAGATCCAATGCCCCAAGCCAATGCTCCAGCTGGGAGGTCTAAATCCAAACTCCATTCACTTGGATGCCCCAATGAGCATAGACCTGCGGGAGAGAAAACAAAAACACGTTGAAAGTTGGTAACATGATGTAAAAGGACGTAGTCAAACCAGTGGTCCATGATGCAGTTAGCAAAGTTCTCACAGGGTATGATTATCTGTCTGTGAGTGCGCCTACATACAGCCAATGTTAATATAACCCCCGATTTGTATCTGTCGGGTCTATCATGGTCTATCACCGGTAACAGTGGATGATGGTTGCTCAAGGCCTTGTTCAAAAATAGTGATAGTCTATAATGCAGAGTTAGGATTAATAAACGCCCCCAAGTTAAACCGAGCCCACACAGCCTCGCAAATTCACCCAAATTGAAAGTAGTATTGGAGCTAAATTACACCCCTGATAGTGTACTTGTCATCTAGAGACCCCACCCCAATTAAACCGAGCCAAACAACCCAGAAAATATAACGATCTATTTTTAGTTATTAGATCAACTAAAGCGATTTATTGATCATGGTACAACTACCATCATCATGCTGCTCATCTCTATCCAATCATGCTCATCAGTTCATCCCGTCTCAAAACCCTAGGTATCAACGCCTCTCATATTATTCAGGGGGAGTGGACCTCATGAATGGTAACCTCAGACCTTCTGGACCTTGTTGACCTTCTATGTGGGGGGGGGGCCGGTTGATCAATCCGGGGATTGCATTAGTTGTTTCATGACGGTTACAGGTCAGAACGGACAGACCCAATGTATCAGCATTCTCACCTGACTCCTCAAGGAAGGTCCGTTCTGAAAACCAACCGTCGGCCCAGACATACGCGAGTCGGATGCAGTGTCATGGTCGCCATGGGTCTTTATACCGGAACAAAAGGTCGTCTTGTTGCAATTGATGGCAAAACATCCCAAATCTGATTTGTCACCAACGAAAACCACTTCACCACTGGCAAACGAGTAGTCTCTGATCTGTTTCATCTGATTCGTTTCCGCCTCAGTGGAGTGGATGTCCTCTCACCATCTCTCACCAAACAATCCATGAGACTGGCCTACCGGACCTCAGTTTATCTTTTTAGTTGTTACTTCCTGGAATCAATGGGGCATGCGTGTGGGATCCTCGAACTGAGTCCTGGGAAGTCAATAAACATCCACATTCCAACACCATTAAAGGAAAGGTATAGGAAAGGTTGACCTGGTTTAGTCAGGTGAAATCCTTACTTAGTACAACACTGGTAGTTCAGTAATAATGACATCACATCAATATAAATAGAAATCAATGGTGGGCCAGAAAGCTGGCCAGAAAGCCTATGGCATCCAGCTTAACATAACCCTTCAAACGCTTAACATCATAGCACAGGCCTGCCCACACCTGGCCGTCATGCCCTCATGCGTTCTCAAAAAAAAACACTGTAACCAATCCCAAACAATTTTTAGTATGTGAAAACCAGGTAGTGTATTTCAATGTTATTTTTTCTCAGGGAGTTGCGATGACCTTGTCAACCAAGAAGAAACACATCCATCAAATTGTCTTTCAAAAGCCGTATTGAACACCACCTGCCCTGCGGAACACTAGAATAAGAACTGGCAGAGCATCCCTATAGCCAGCAGCAAAAGCATCGTCCAAGTCCTGCTTCTCCGTTCCCTTTTGTTCCTTCAAGCACAGGATCAACCAGTCAAACGTCCGACACCCGGCGAGATAGACTTGATTCACCTGGGGGACCTCCAATAGAACCATCCTCCGAGCCCTAAAAACAAAGCCAAAATGGACCTGGGAAGTCCATGGCACCCGGGTTGTCCGACTGTTTTCTTCGTTTGCTGCACCAATGGTTGTTCAGAATCCATGGGATCGTTTTTTTTTCCTTCAGCCGGGGTATACATCATCCTTTCATCCTCCAGGGAGCTCATCAATGTCGACCACACCATTGTCGTCCTCGTCGATGAGCAAGAAGAGTGTCCAAAGATCGTCCGTGGAGATACCCATCGATTGTAGAAAACTGCTAAGCCTCAGGCGCTGGCTTTGGGCGGACTTTTCCGCGCGGGTGGGAAACCGTGTTCTGGTGGATGGCCACCATAGCTATCGGGGAGATGCCTCAAAAAACCGGCGGGCGCTCGAGGCGAAGTGTTTTCCTCCTTTGCATTGTAGGAAACACACGACAACGATCAGCCTCAACACGTCAAAATTGGATCCTCCCACTGGTTTGGGTCGATCTACAGTACCTCTTGGTGCACATTACCTTGGATATATGAACTAATATAGTTAATAAATCAATGTGTTTTCCACGTGACCTGAATGCCACAACTGCGTGTATCCGAACATGTACGGCAGACTCCACTGACTACGCATTGCAACTACTCTGCTCGCATCGTGCTCTGACTACACCGCGACGTGCATCGGGACGGGTGCCGGTCACCGAGGGGCTGGTTGTTGTTCTTGGTCATGGCTTCTTGCAAGTTCTCGATCGTCACCTCCGTCCGTCTTCCGATCCGATCCACCGGATCCGTGGATCCGTGTCCCAGAAGCCAACTCTACAGGGTCATGTCCCAACTGCCGTGGACGTAACACGCCTGCGCGCTATCCTGCGCAAGCTGCATCAAAAGGCAAGCAAACAGAGACCAAACCAAAGGTGATGAGAGGGAAAGGCCACAAGTTGCACATATTGAGCATGAAAAGGCAAACAAAAAGGAATACGGCAAAAAGGCCGCCCAGGAAACAACACAAACAACTAGACAACAAGAAGACAAACAACACGGCGGAGCATTCGGCAAGAGGCTTAGAAACACTACGGCCGAACAATTATTAAGCTAGAACATGCTGAAATCAATGCAAGCTAATGGGCAAAAACTGATGCAAAACAAGGCAAAACACAAGGTGAAACAGCGGCACAAATTAAACATAACACCTACCAGCATCCTCCAACAGGTCTCCTCGGGAGGGTTGCTAGGCCCTAAGAGGTCTCAATTGGTGAGCTGTCGGGTGCTGGTATAAAAAGCAAAAGAAAGCCGAAAGCGCACCCAAGACAACAACGGCCATGACCAGTCCTACTTTCCTGAAGTCTACTTAGTACTTCAGGGCTTGGTACTTCAGTGGAAATCCCTGCACAAGAGTGAAATTCGCTGCTCCAAAACCAAAGAACAAAACACACACACGCACATGAACCAAAAGGAAGCCACGTACGATGTTCGGTCGCACACCGCAACCGTACTTCGGTCCAGCGCAACCGCAATGCTCGCTCCGCGGGCTGCGCTGACGTTCCGAAGAAACGGAGCGCCCGGTCGGTCGCGTTGTCGCTGCGGCAATCGCAGCACCTGTTCGTCCATGTCAATGGTGATATCCGAGAAGATGTGCCTCGAGCGATCGACGAAGAACAACGACGCTCTGGCTCTGGTTTTTTATTTGGGCCGTCCCGATTCTGATGACGACCAGGGCACTATTTGGGGTATGACCGGGTCATAGATGGAGCTTAATGAATCAGGTAGGGTGGTTCATGGTCGTTCTACCATTTGGTGGTCTTGAAATGCTTTAAGGGTGCCTTTTGAAAGGCAACAATTCCGGATGTCCAGATTCTTTTGGCAGGTGGTCATTCCGTAATTACGTGATTCAATGGGGCTGGGGCTTCTCAAACACCCGGAAAGGGAAGGCTTCTTGTCTTTGGACTGGCCGTCTACAATTGGATAAAAATGAATAACAGTCCCTCTGGAAGAGCTGAATTCATCGAATCCAACTCATGAAATCCATGTTTTTCCTGCTCCTCAACTCATGATATCGCTGGGCTATAAAGATAAATCTATCCCTTAGCTGGATGGATAGATGGCAACATGATTGGATTTGGCTTTCCATGTTTCTCGGACCGCAAAACCCGCGTTCCGAAACATGATCCGACTCGGACCGGACACCACGGTCCGCACCGGCGGACCGAGGCGCACCGACGTTCGGAGTTCGGTCTTCGGAGTTCGGCGGCCACGCCTCAGTGATGACATTTGTGACTTCCTCCGCTGTGATTGCTTCTGTGCGGCCAGGTCCTCGCCGTTCTTCGTTTTCCCGACGGTCGAAGACGATTCGTAAGTGGTCCAAGTGGCTCAAGAGGTCATCAGCCGCTCTAAGCAAGTCACTAGAGGTTAATAAAGTTAAAGTCATGTGTTGATAAGAGTAGTTGACCAACGTTTGGGGAGGCCCGAACTGCGGCCCGAAGAACTCACCACAACTACAAAGCAAACAAAACGACAAACCCAAAGAACATACACAACAACCATAAGCACTTCTCAACTTCTCAACCATCTATATCCACAACTCTGGACTCAGTCTTTCGGAGTTTTTCGACCTCTTCTTATTGAATCTTATTGATGGCTGTTTCTTAACTTCACCAACCATCATGGTCTATTGGGATGCACTCTCCGGCTCATTCCCCCCTCACTTAGCTGAACTGGTGCGTTTCCCACGAGTAGCCATTTTTGGGAATACTCTCGAGTGCACGTCACCGTTTCCCACACATGGGCGCAGGTTCCTCATCTGCAAAGGCCAAAAGCACCCAGCCAGGGCCAGCCAGGGGCAGGGGGTCCCCCACTTCAAATCCCTAGATGCTCCGAGTGCCTCCTAAAAAGGTTCCTGGACCCTCTTGGCACCCACCCCAGTCCCACCTTCGAAACGAATGCACGCCTGGAGCCCTAATTCAAAAACATTCAAAGACCATGGACGTATGCCCAGTGAAGCCACGTGAATGTCGCACGAAAGCGAACCGCCTCCACATCGCCGTCCTTGTCGGCGGCCGCACTTTCAATGGCGGTGTTCACGAAGGTGCCTCGTCGTCCGCGGAAAGCGAGTTTTCGGCAGAAAGAGGGAAACCAAACAAAGCACTCTACAGCAACATAAACACCTTGTGATCTTACAGGGATATCAAGTATCAGATATCCTTTTCTCTTAAGTGGGCAGTAGCCTCAGTAGTTGGTATATGATCAATGTTAAATGAGGTCTTTGATGAGGAAGGGGGTTGCTGCCTTCCCTTCCTGGCGGATCGCCCGTCGGCCTGTCACCACATTGAGAATCGTGAAAAAGCCGATGACAATGTACAGGTTCCTTGGGTTTCTCCATGCGCCATGCTGCCCTTCTCTCGCAAATGAGAAGTTGTTGGGGAATGGGATCCCCTCGGTCCGAACTCCTGGCACCCTGGACCGAAGGGCACCCGATTGATATCTATTGATCCTATTGGACCCCTAAGGGGCGGTGTGTGGTGTTAAGGTTAAGGAACATCCTTACCACCCATTGAACCCCCGAAGCCAGGGAGATTGGATGAGATTGGTGGATCTTCCTGCTGTGAACTGTGATGAGGTGTCAGGCTTCTTGCAGTAAGCCAAAGGAGGCATTGATGTTGCAGCCTGCGAGCTGCAAAAATCTTGCAGTTGTCAAGTATGAGTTCCTAGTGGTGCCATCCACCTCCATAATTGTTTCAGGGAATGTAACTGGTGACTTTTCTTACTCGCGATACGGTGTCATATATATATATATTTATATGACTCCAGGAGCTGAGTGTCCTGTGCATTCTCGAGCAAGGCTCCAATCGGTTCCAATCACGCAGAGCGTGAAATGGATGTGCATCCCTCACCCAAACCATCAGTGGGAACGGAATAGTTACATACATTATCATATCTTGACCCCATGAAAATGACATGTTCATGCAAGTAACTATTCCATACATGGATGGTCTGGGCTAGATTGACTGCACTGCCTAGGTCAGCACATAGCCTGCCGAAAGGACAACTTAGCTCGGACAGCGTGCTTGTAATGCGCACTTCATGAGCCAAGCAAAGTTGATGACACATGCGGGAATGTTATGTTCCTCGCCCCTGGCCCCTCCCTAATATATGTCAAGGCATGCGGCATGCACGAAAAGCATTCGAATGCTTCCGTGGCCCGGTCGAAGGGTGGATGTGAAAGGCCTGCATACTTCACCTGTCAAACAGGCTAATTATATCCGATCCTCCAACAAGTGTTCCACGGAGACAACAGGTGCCTATAAACCATTGGGATCCAAACACCCACTTCTTTTAAGGTATATGTTCACATTGTTTGGCTCACCCTTACTCTTCATTCCACCAAACGCCCCGAGGCTCATGAGGGCAATCGCCAGCGCTGAGACGTCCCTCAAGGGTTCATAGGCGTCATACCAGTCGATCCCGCCAGTGATCGACCTCAGTTCGCGGGCGCGAGAGACGTCCGCCCGTTCCCGTTCCACTGGTCTGGGAGCCTCACAGCGGCCCAGAAAAGGCCACAGGTGGTTGAAAAGGAGGTGCATGGGGCAACAGTTTTGGCCGTTTGATGGAGTGTCTGGGGAGAGATGGGAAGAGGTCCAAATGATCAAACAAGATCAGGCTCGGTATTTTGGTTGGGCCCGGCCGAGCACAAAAGCCTTCTTTTTCTGTATACTGTAAAGGAGTCATTTTTTGCGGTGTCTCTTGGCCGTCTAGCTCGCTCTCTCGGTGACACACTCATGATCAAACGTACGAGCCCACGTCTGAGGAGTTCTAGTTGGAGCCCCAAGGCTATGTGCTACAGAGTCGTGTCCTTTTCAAAACCCCTACCAATACGGTCGGCCAGGGATCCACCCCGTGGGGGAGTTCTCGGGGCTACGCGATCGGCCGATCGGCACACTCGTCCAACCCACTGGCTCTGAAAAAGAACAACACTGTCGGCCATGGGCTCGGGACTCCAAGGACATCCTGATCAGGTCGCCCGGGAATGGAGCTCCGGAACATGAGAGCTCGGATCGATATCCGCTGTTCGAGCTCCTTTTTGTCATACATGTTTCGATACCTGTTGATCATCGATCGGAGCCCACCAAACAGTGGATCGGTCATCCCCCACATACATCTATATAGTACATGGCCCTCCTCAGGTGACTTGCTAACGCAATGGCGTCCATGATGCACCATGATAGGATATGATAGGTAGAACCGCCCGTGCGCCCGTGCAGCCTTGCATTTCTTGGTCTCCCCGTCCTCTTGAAGTCATTGCATGGCAAGCGGCAAGAACAAGGTATGCATGGAATCCATCACATTGGACCAATACCTCACTGGCTTCACAGGCACCGACGCAGCAAACAGAGACCGCAGTGGTGACCAGCGGACCAGTTGCGACATCAACAGAGGTTGAAGGAGAACCTCCGCGTATAAATATGCCACACATACACACCATGGGACTGGAAATGACTGGAATATACAGTATATACTTGCATTGACATCACATCGGCCGCTGTTCAACAACCCCAATGTTGATATGTATATATGTTTTTTTTGTATATTTGTGTGTTTTTCCAACATACAATGCATTCAGATGCATTCAGTGTTTGGGTGTAGGACCCTACGACTCTTGTGGGTAAGACACTCAAAACATGATGAACGTGTTGACCCCTTCCTTCCAACACGTTACCTCAGCAACAGGAAAACATTCCAGGACGCCCCAAACTGAATTCGTAAGTCCAGGACCTGGAACACCTGCGTTTTGGCATGTTTTGGCCGCCATCTCCTGATCTGCTGCATTCCACATGCCTGATCTTATTGTGTTTTTTACGCAGAAATCGCGCACCCTGTCCAGAGGGTCGTCCATGCGGCCGTCCATTGCGACCCAAAGGCTCGTTCAGCTTGCCCGGACAAACGGGCACTGCATTACTATCACCGGTGCGTTCCACTTCCAGAAATCGACAGTAGTCCGTCACCATCTGTGAGAAAATCACTGCCTCAGTGGCTTCGGACCCATTTTGCACAATTGACGTCAAGGTTGGGGCCAGGATGCTCCAAACATGTCCAAGCGCTTCTATATCCCTGCGAAGTTATATCCTATGTGGCCTTCCTACTCTCACTGAATCGATCTCCAACGGGTCTTGGCCATTCACACCTTGGCAATTCACCAAAAAGAACAAGAAGTTCTCTCCCTCCTACCCATGCACAAGTCTCCCGGACCTCTCTCCCCGGTCCGGGGAGACTCCCAGGACCCGTTGGTTTCGGCTCGGGCACGAAAAGCCGCCGTTTGAAGCCGCCGTTTGAAGCTCGGTGGACCGCCAGCGCCGAGGTGCAAACATGTAAAACAGGATCTGCAGCAGCAGAAGGGTCCAGAGAAGTGACCCCATGGTGGACATGATGGACAGCAGCAACCTGTCGGAAGACACAAAGCCCGAAGACACAGAGGTTCTTGGGCCCATGTTTCAAGCATCGATGTATGGAATAGTGGAGCGTAGTTAGACATACCCTAGAAGTCGAAAGACTACATTTTGACCAACTGAAGTAAAGGAAGCTCCCTCTCAGGTCCCCTAAAGACCATATTTTTATAGTCTTTGACTCCCAGGGCATAGTTATTATACTATACTATTATACATATCACTGACCCTTTTTCAACCACACCTCATGTAGGTAAGTATGCCACAGCAAAGGCATGCTGTATTTGTGACCCTGTTCTGATGCCCTTTGATGAAAGAAACGTTGGAAGCCTGAACTCCTACCTCCAACCTCATGAAAACCTCCTCCAAACTCCCCACTTTCTGTCCTCACCCTCTCCCCAAACGTTTTTGCAGAACCCCCTCCCGATCTTCGGGATGTTCCGCTCGTCCCGACTCCAGACCGATCCAGATCCCGACCGACCGGAGCTTTCCGTCCCAAGGGGCCCTCGCAAGGGACTAAAGAATCGGAAGAGCCGGATCACGCGCACGGAGCGCAAGGTCCTCCGACGCTCTCGCATCGCCCGCCCGTCCGGGCTCGGGGCTGCTCGGAACCCGCGTCGGAGTCCGGTGCCGGTGGGTCCGGGCGGTGGACTGGTGTAGGTCTTGGGAGCCAAGGATGGGGGTGGAAGAAGGCGGTTTCGGACATGTTATGGCCCGGAGATCAGATCAAGGGAATTGGAGTAAGTTATATACGTTCTCCCCATGTTCAGCCTCTATAGTGTAAGTAACTGTTGCATATCTATGGATGGTCTGGGTTAAACATGGGTGGGTGCACATTGTTGCTGGAGCTGTAGGGAATCACACTTTGGTGGCATCCCGCCGGCACAGATTGCTGGAGACGACCACTAAGACCTGACCGGAGAATATGTTTGGAGCGCGGATGCCATCCCCTAGGGATCCACATACCTTCTCAGAAGGTAATTGGACCCTCCAAGCCTACTTAAATAGTCTCCGTCCTCACCGTACCTGAGAAGGTACGACTGGATCCCTAGGGATCAAAGTGTCCTGTGTTGTGACTCTGCAGTTTGAGAAACAGCTCCTTTTCGAAGCGATTACTTCTCGCTGTTGCTGAACCACGAACCACTCAGGACATCCCTTCCATTCAAACGAATGCAAAAGAACAACATCAACATACAGTACATATCATATATAGATCTATAGGCTCCAAGCCAAAAAAAGAATCGGGAGTATCAGTTGGAGAGATGCCAAGTTTGAACATTGCTTGTTGTTCTTTGCCCAGCCGTCTTTGGTGGCCAAGTCTGGTTCACTTTATAGGCTGTTAGATGCTTTGCAACCTAAGTCCTCCTCTGCAAGCTACTAGTAGCATAAGCCCCAATGCCCTGTTTTTGTGGATGATTTGTCCTTCAGTTGGCAAAAGGCTAAACTATCAAGGCGGATCATCAACCATTATCAATGTGGCGCTGACAAAGATGCCAAACACATCCAAGAAAACAACACATGAACCTGTTGTTCAAAAGGTTTTCTTGAACATTCCCCCCAAAAAACAAACCATATGGACGGCACTAGAGGGCGGTGATATAAATATTGCGGACTGATTATCACTCATCTGTTGCACTCCCTCCCCTGCTTGTACATATAAAACAAGTCTAAATATTAAGTCGTTCTCGTTCCCTAGGCGCCGGAGGGCCTGGACAATGTGGGGTGGTTGACTTCCAATGATTTCAGTCATTCCATATGCATTCACATGGACAACGTCCCCGCCTCACGTCCTCCACACCCCGCGCGCCAACGACTGAAGAGTCCGCGTTTCGTCCGGAACCGGCGACGGGGCTTCTCCTTGCGAGGCGCAAGGCACGCACCAAGCGAATGGACGAGGACCCGTCCGTGGCCGCGGCTTTCGCCTGGCGTGGACGCTCCCGGTGGGTCGCTCCCTTTGGGTCGGTCCTCCGTGGATGGGGCCTGGTTGGCCGACAGTTCTAAAAGAGTGATGTTCTTGTGAAACCTGACTGCTCTACAGGTACGCACCGAGAAACCCAAACAATAGTGGTAAGACTGGTGGTAAGACTGGTGCCGTTCCTCCATCAACAACCACCCTTGGACCGAGCAGACATGCTTGCGCATGATTCTTCCAATAATAAGGTTTCAATTATGATCAACTATGTAATGTTTCCTAATCAAAGGGCTCCAACATGCTCCAACTACCCTCTGAGAACAGGGTGCCGGGAGGGTCTAAATACCTTCTCAGGAGGTATACCTGGAGTCCTATTGGGGGCTCAATGCACAAGCACTTGTTTGGCGAAACAACCATACCCTTAAAAGTCCAAAAGACTATATGAGCTGTGCTCAAAACGTGTGGCATCTGCCTATGTCGTAAGACTTTCCTTACGCAGCAGCTTACGCCTGGCTTACGCCACCACAATGGCAGCTTACGCCCACACTTTGCACACAAAGGGGCTTACGCAACACTTACGCGAACACAATCTTGCACCCGTCCACAGCGCCAGCTTACGCGCCATCTGTTTTCCAAGCAAAGCACAGCACACAACAGGTTTGTTACGTCCGCGGGTGTAGGGCAGTGAGAAGCCAGGATTTCGTAGATGGTCTGGACAATGCGTTGCCTTTGGCGCCATTGCGAGTCAGAAAAAGCCTGCTCTTTAGGAGGCATCGTGGGCCACAATCTACAAAAGAGAGGGGGGCTTACGCGCAGCTTACGCGAAGCTTACGCGCGCCTTACGCGTATTACCGACACCAAAACCGATAACTGCATGGTGACATAGTGTGTCTGACAACTGCTGGTAGACTTTATGGCTACGGGAGTTGTTTGTATGGCTATAGGAGTAATGTTTGCATGTGTCGACCCATAAAATCTCTGTCCTGATGCCTATGTCCTGTATATAAATGACTACAGGAACCCCAAGAACCCTTCTTTCTGTGGAGCCAATCACCTTCGACCATACCAATTGCCAAGAAAAAGATCCAATGCAAGGCTTCATCAACAAAGGTCTCCTATAATTTCCAAACATTTCAAGAATACATGTGACATGTATGTTAAATTTCGACTTGCTTACGCGGCTTACGCAAGTTTCATCTCACAAAAAACGCTTACGCAACCTTACGCACATCAGAGTTTTGCTTACGCGAAGGATTCATATGACAAGCCCACTACTAAACATGAACAGGGAGGTTCTTAGCGCGGCTCATATGTTGCCCCACCAAGTCAAGAAATGTTTCCCTTTGGGGTAACAAAAAACGATGAGAAACTTGAATCACAGCAATCAACCCTCCGAGGCGCCGTAACCCTCCGGTTACCGGGTAGGGACGGGATACGTAACCCTCCAACCGGTCTCAGGGGCACCCACAGGTCCACGGCTGTCTCGGCCAAAGAGATCACCACAATGACGAAATCAAAGATGTTCCTGGGATTTTTTTGTGACCGATTTGAAACGACGATCTGGGTGACCGATTTTCAGGTGTCTAGTGATTTGCCTCTTAGAGGTTGGATGTCCAAAAAAGGTCAAAGATCTGGGTGACCAAGCGAACATCATGTCACAAAAACAATTCTTTGTCTTTTGTTGGAGGTTGATACGTATGAATCATGTCGTCGGTGTCTTGCAGGCGCTCTTTACTTGGGAGCTATAAACCCTTATGCGTTCTCGGGATGACTAGGGGTGTGGCTGAAACTGGGGCCCAAACGCACGTTCTAACAAAAACACACCACTTAACACCCTTCTGATCTCGCAACCTTTTAGGACCCACCCCCCAACCACTCTGAGCCTGTCAGTGTGACATCCTGTCCACATCCCGTTCTCTGGGGTCTGCTGCATCCCACTTGGTGCACCAAGCCAAGTCCGCCTGACTGTCCGCAGCCGAGGTTCCAGGAAGACTCAGACCCTCTCCAAAAGGTCTCACAACCAAGCGCATAGAGCTTAATCACGATCTCCATGAAAAAAATGAACACCATCCTCACACATTGGGCGGCTAAATGCGGCTATCCTTTAATAAACACGTTTTATGAAGTGACCCCCTGGGACATCTGGCTCTATCCGGACCACCCCCTAGGACAGGCGACTCACATTGGACATTGGGGGTGGGGTGATTTCAGGGGTCTATGTATGTAATATGTATATATAAGGTTGTGTGAATGGTCCGTACATGGACGGCTTGGGCTAGATCCACCTAAACGGACAACATCTCCAAAACACATGCAAAGGCAAAGACCCATCTGTCGCTGCAACTTGAGTGGGTCTTCTTTATTGGAAACACTGTAATTGCTGAAGTTAGGGATTGACAGTGCTGATAGGAACTGAGACATGATAAAGGTCCTGGATTAAAAATGCATACCCTCACGCATGTTCACGTGACAGGCAATCATCTTACCAAACAATCCATGGGAATGGAATAGTTGCCTACATTGGGAGCTTTGGGGTGGCTGTTGAAATGCTCTTTTGGGGTCAATATCGGCCATATGGCTTTGGGTCAAGACTCGGAGCTCGACCTCCCTAGTAGTTTGTTCTGTTCATTCTACAGTGGTTTCAAAGGTTCGATGGCACTGGCACCCCAAGACGTCCTTTAGATGGAGGCCCATATACAGTAAATCATCTTTTGGGGATTGTGCCATCTACTCTCAAACCACTGTGCATATACTGTATACCCCCCTTAGAACTCTTGGATACTCTTGGTTCTCCCCAAGACTTGGCCACTTGGGATTTGACCGAAGAGTCTTAATGGGGATGTGCACCAACTTCTTCAGTTCGTGACCTCTAACTGGAGTGCCTGTTTGTGACCTTTGACCTTTTGCGACCTCAAGCTAGGATATGAAGTTCGGTCATTTTTGAAGAACCAGGCATGGATTGTTGGGGACATGTTCACCGCTGTTCACCCTTAAAAACACAGATGCAAAAGCACCGTCCACTTTAGCAACCGGCTTCCAGTGTGGCGACCGGGGTGGCCGGGGTGGTGCCGGTGTGATGCCAGTACCGGGAGTGGGTTCAAAGGTTTCCACCAACCCATATTCAGTGAACAAAAAGAGCTTCAGGTGTTATGGCCTGGAATTGAACAAATCCCGCGGGAGGCAAGTCTTTGAAACCTTCACCCCTGAGAATCGTAACATGGAAGGAGGTCAGGAGGTCTCTTGAAATCAAAACAAGGTCATGGTGCACTGAGCTGTGTTCCAACACTTCCGCACAGCCATCAAATCATGTCAGGCATCAAAGCATTCACGACAGCATACCATCCAGGAATATCAGCCTGACGGTCGGATCGTGCGCTCCAAAAACTTCCCACCTTCGGGGTATGCTTTGGATATCTTTGGATAGCGTTCAACGTTCCAAACACGACGTCCGCGCTCCCAAAAAACAGTTCCGCGCAGCCCGCGGGCCGCGGTCAACACACCCAGTTGTATGGGATCTCCATGGGGTTGCTTTCGTCATGCGCTGCGGTCTGTCTCGTCATGCGGATTTCCTGCATCGCAGGTGCAATCGCAGGTCACTGATGGTCTCTGAAGCCCAAACACGAACAAACGAGGCCTGGCCGTGACACTCCAAAACCAGGAAGTCAAGGGGCACCCCTCCGAGGCTTACGGGGCCCCCGTATCGGAGGGGTCTGGCAGGGCCGACGCGACGGCCACCGCGAAGACGGCGGTGATTTCACCGGCGCTCAGCTCACGGACGGTGATCGAGTGCTGTGAACGAAACAGCTGAAGCCGGTCGTTTCGAAGCAACAAAAACCATGCAAACACCAAACATGGTACTTCGTTGGTCATATAATGATCCGTATTATAGAGCATAGGGGCTGGAGGTCAACAAAACCATACAAAACCCAACCCTACCCCAGCCCCCAGAAGTTACAAAACAAGATTTCATACAATCCCTGACTCCCTGACGCCCTTCAATCATTTTGGTGCTGCTCTATCTGCTCTGCTCCTCCGAATTCAAAGATGAAGCGCTTGCCAATGGTCGGTGCTCATGGAAAGCATCCCAACCCGTAGCTCCCAAGCAGTTTCTTTTGGAGAGAATCACCCTCACCGACCGACTGACCGAGTGTGAGAGTGCAAGGCGTGGTGCCTGGCCCAAGGTGGCTGCAACATCGATCTCCACACCCAGCAGGATGCCATTGACGAGGATGAGGGCCTTGACGAGGATGCGCTTCTATTGGCGTGAGATACTGCCGCTCTACAGGCACTCACGGAAAAACTGTAAAAGCAAAATGCCAAGACCAATGTCAAGAATCATCATGAGAGGACATCATAAAACTCCATGTTGACAAGTCGAGCATGGAGCTGAGCGCCGAATGGGCAGAAGTCTGGCGCCGACAAGTCGATCTCTTCGTATCGAAAGGCTGGAAGGATCAATCCATCCACAAATCCAAGCATTTATGCTATTATTTGATACATACTAAACTTCTTCTTCTCCTTCCATTCCCTCCATGTTCTTTCCCTCTCTCCCCAACTTCGGTTTCTCGCCCTCCATCCCACTTCTCTCGAAGGGCTGCCTACTTCTCCTTCTCTCCTTCTCTCAGCCTCCCATATCGTCCGAGAGTTTCTTCCAGGTGGCCATGATGACGTAGGTGAAATACGGCGAGTTGACGATGCACTTGAGCCGCCCTTTGTAGCTCTCGGGCTCGCTCGAGCGCAGGGAGCCCGTCCGTGCCTGACGCGACGTTTAGGACGTTGAGGAGGAGTCAACCACCCCCCCGGAGACTCCGATTGGCATGTTTAAGATGTTTAAGTAACTATACCCCTATTCAACGGCGCCTTCGTATCATTCGTCGTCTGGTGTGTATTGACAGGTGTCGACTCATGGATTGGTCGACGGCAGGTTGTCGTTGTTTCTGTTGTTTCTTGTTTAAGAAGGCTCCTAGGGGGCGTTGCGTCTTTCTTCCTTGTCTTCCTTACAGTTAAGCTCACAGTGGATCAAGATCTACCAATGTTTGAGAATCTCATGATATTTGAGAAATGATCCTTTCCAAATACGATCATGAGAGAGTGTGCGTGTTGCCCCATATTACCCTCATCCGCAACCCCTTTTGTGGGAAGTGAATCAAGTGACCCAGTGCTAAAAAACAACTTGCAATATTGTAATATCTTATAATTATTATATACAATATTGATGCACCCCGACACCTCCAAACCAAATTTATATATAGAACAATAATGTAAAACTTCAGGAGACAGTCCTGAAAGCCATTGAAAGCCAGCCCTTGAAGACCTCGATCCAACCAATTGACTTCAATGCTCCCAAGGTGCTTTTGAGGCCGTGCGGCTGGCTTTCAGCTTGCGCCGAGAGATGATGCCTAGGCCGTCTCCGGCTGGCTTGCGTTGGTGTGACGAAAGGGCGACCTCACAATCGGGCGATTTATGTGTATCTCCCAAACCATGCCCGTATGGAATACTTACATTAACTCTGTTTATGACCCCGATGACATAGGTATTCCAGTCCCATGGATGGTCTGGGATCGTTGTCAGGTTCAACAGTTTGTTTTTTGCCCAGTGGGCCCTTGGCTGACATCCCCACACCGATAATCGTCCTCCTCAAACACGACCTAGTTGGGACAGGCATATAGTGATCGATCAGTTGATTCGGCTTTACTCGTCCATGTGTTCCGTCCAGACGGGCTTTGTTCAACGGACCGCGCAGTCCCATGCATTGTCGGGGTTCAACCATGATGCCAGCACCGAAAGAGAAGGCACAAAACAAACTGAGCAAGCATGATAGAACTCGAGCACGAGATCCGGAAACTGTTGGTAGAAGGGTTCAGTCTGTTGAGTCTCGTATTTTGGTCCAAACGATGGCAAACTCAACGTCGACTCAACCCATGTGATCGGTGGTTCGATCCGAGCAAGTCGAGGTGTGTTCCGGCGTGAGCGGGGGAGCGGGGAAGCACCCAACGACTCGATGCAGCGGCAACCTATCCCAAACACGAGCTGTGGACTGCCATATAATATGCGGATCAGGCCAGGGGTGGTTGACCTGGGGTCAATAATATATAGGCATACATGAAGCGTCTAGGTATATTGGGATGGTTTTCTTGATGAATGTAGGCTGATGTTCCACCCAGCAATATACCGACGTATACATGGAGTGTCTGGGCATTCGTGGTGGGGATAGCTGAACCTGAGATTCCTGCCAAACTTTGGAATAATTCCGCCAGGGAATGCCAGGGACATGTCTTGCCCAGTTTCAAGGGGTGGGCGAACATTCCTCGACCATCGAAACTGGACGAGTTGTGTATGACCCCATTTTCCAATGACCCGTCCATGCAAGCAACATACGATAACATAGTTTATATCTCTTCCACACCGCCCGGACCATCCACTTATCTCTTCCACACACGACACGCCCAAACCATCCACGACACTGGCCGATTTACCCACCCTTGGGGTGGCAAGAGTGGCCAAAAGGCCTTATAGGACACGTCCTCCAACACAATTTGGGAGGACATATTATGTTACAAGGCCTTTTGACCTCCCAACAGAGGTTAAGTGACCTTATAAGACCCTAGCAGGGTACCTGTGGGATAGCCTATTATAGGGTTCTTCGACCTCTGTTGGTCTGTTGGTGGTTGATCCTTCCCAGTCCCACCGAAAAGCGTCGACCGTTCTTCGCCCCGAGTGGCGTTCCACGAAGTCACTTTTGGCCCCACCCGCATAGGGATCGGCATTCCTCGGCGTTCCGGCGGACTTGACTCCCTGGGACCTGACGGAGAAACCCTCGAAGCACGGAGACCTCACGTGCCAATCCTTCGGGCTCGGTCGCCTATAGTATATAAGGACACCACTCGCGACCTGGCCGTGCTACGGAGCGGTGTTGTTTCGGGGCACCGGGAGACCGCTTGCGTGCCAAGAAAGGAGTCAGTCAGAGTCCCAGTCAGCCAGTCCCAAGGAAATTGGAGGGGATGCTTTAGCATGGTTCTTCCAAGTGAGCCGAGATTCTTTTTCAGAGGTGGTGGTGTGAAGCAGGTTTGTATAAAGTATAAACCCTTGTATCTCAAAAACAATCTCAGCTGACCGAAATTGATCTCCTGGTCAGGAGGCCACATTCAAATGGGACTCCGCAATGGTCACAGTGGCCTTCAGAAGCCATGGTGTCTCGTGCTCCAACCCCCTAGCAAAGTCCGGCACCAAGCAATTCCCCCCAAAAGTCCGGGACCGTTGACTCAAGCATCTGATCATCTGGACTCGTCATTCTCTCGATCTCCTGCTGGTGCTTCTTCTGCGGGCGACTGAAACGGGCGACTGCGCTCTGTGCACAGCGCTGCTGGTGACTGGATGTTCCCCCAAAAAATCACACCGGTGACAGTACCACATTCTACCTCACTGATGAGCGGATCCCTGTTCCTGCGTAGCACTGGGTGTCTGTTTGCAACCAGTGCTCTCCGCCATCAGCCATCCATGTATGGAACGGTTCTACTTATAGGGTTCATAAAATGGAGTCAATGTAAGTCTCACATCCCCCAATGTAAGAACACGTAAGACAGAACTGTCCTGACAAAACAGTTTGGAATCAATTCATAGCCTTCGGTGTGAGTGAGGCAGATCCAAAACAAGCCAGAAAGGAGGGGACCAAGTATGATCCAATCATAGCTAGCCATGCAATCAAATCCTCCAGCAGTCACAAAGGGGAGCCTATTAAAGGATAGGGGTGCCCATTATCCACTCACTTAGGGACTGAAAACCACCCCTTTGTGACTCCTGGCTGTCTGTTTTTTTCAGTTTGAAACTGCCGCCACGCCCCGTCAGGTCTCGAACCGCCTTGCGGCCGATATGTTTACCAACCCACTGAATAGGATCTGTTCCTCTCAAAACCAGGATCCCGAATTCCCCTCTACCACGACCTTCCAAACAGGTCTACAAGCCCTGAAGAAGCCCTGACAGTCTACAGGCGGTCGCCTCCATTTCGTCTCGACCGCTTTCAGTGCCGGAAGGTCTAACGGCGTTTCGGTGCTCGGTCAGACCGCGGTCGTGCGACCGTCCCGGACCGACCGGTCCCTCGACCGGCCTCCCGTGACCCGTCCTGGGAGTGCTGTCCGAAGAAGCCGTCCGAGACGGCATGGCCCATGCGGGGCGAGCGGGGCACGTCGCCGCCGCCGTGGCCCTGCGGACTGGAAGAGTCCGAATGGATGGGTCATAGATAGTGTAGGTGACTTATAAGTGAAATATATAAGTGTATGTAGCTTTTCCAGTCCCATGGATGGTCTGGACTATGGTCTGGTTATGGTGGTTCATAGGCTAGCAGTTCCATCCTGATAGGCCAGCAGTTCCATCCAGGTATCTATGTTTTGTTATGAGTCCCACGGTTGGATAGGGGCAACTACCCTCCAACATGGCTGGAAAAATTGCATATACGGAAAAGGGTAGTATATGAATATGTCATCCAATGTGATTGTCGTTTCAAAGTAATTAGATTGCACAACCCTCAAGATGTCCTTTAGAGCGGGGGTAGCGCTGTGAGTGTCCCAACCTGTCGCGGGAACAGGACACGCAAAGCCACTTGCTAGGCAGAGTCCTCAGGGAGAGTACAAGCTCAACCGCTGTGGATTGGACAAACAAGACGAGCCACATCGCCACATCGAACCACTGGTGCTTGGCCGCACGGGAAAGGCGCATAAAGGCGCTACCCCCCGCCCCCTGGGACAACAGTGGTTTTCACTGTCCAGTCCAGTTGCCTCCGTGGAGGGCAGATGAAGAAATTCGAACCTTCCCCATCGGCTGGGTGAGGCCGGCCCGGCACAAATGGGCCAAGTTGGTGTCCCAACCTCTAAGCTTGGACGCTCCGAACTCCACCTGTTGCAGTCGTGTGAAAGAGAAGACACTGACTGGCCATGGCGTGGCGTGTAGAACCCGTGCCCTTTCTCTCGAGGACGACACGAGGTTGAGGCGCCTGATACATCCGCTGAAGCTTCACTTCGTGCTCCAAGTTCTCGAACAAACGAGCTTGCCTGGCACAGATGTCTGGAGAACTCACCAGAACGAACCCGGAGCACCAGGATGGAGTATAAGGGTTTCTGCCGCCGACAGTAGGACCCCTGAAACCAACCACCTACTGATTAGTGGATGGTCTGAAGGATCAATGTAGGCAAATATTCCAGATCCCCGGATGTTTTGCTTGGATTCCCAGGTTTTTTCGCTGCCCAAGTGAGCTATCTGCCTCTCGAACTGCACGTCCAAGTATCTCCTGGCCGATCGAAAGAGATTTCAGAAGGGATGATTCATTCAGCACTCCCCCCCAAAGGGCAAAAACATGCAAAAACCGTGTTCGTGTCTATACACTGCGAACCACAGGGGAGACTCCGACAGTGGTGCATAGCGTGGTGGAGACCCAAGACCATCGTAACGAAGCAACATTGATCCTGCTTTGTCCGCCACTCTCAAAAATAGTAGTGGATGGCATGCCCCTTGAAAGACGACAAAATCCTCTACGAGAAGGATGTCCAATTATGTCAACTTGAATTTCTGTCTGTGTGGACCGTCACAGCCATTTTGCCTGCCAAAGATTTCCAGTAGTGTTTTCTATTATTGCTCACAGTGACACTGCAAATAGCTATCATACTGAAGTAGGGTTTCTCGATTCACGGCTAGCGGCTAGTTAAGCACTGCGCGCTTCTGTGTCTAAGCTCCCAAAGAATTCCAAAACAGGTCGGCGACATGGATTGGCTCGACAGATCCCAAGCTTCGTGCGGGGTGACCGCTCGACCGACCTGATCAACGTTCGGTCCCCGAAGCAGACTCGAACGCGTCTTCCCGGGTACAGGTGATGTTGTACCTGGACCCTATACTGACACAGTACCTGGGAAAATGGGATATGGCCACCCAAAAAGAACAGGTATACCATGGTAAATGGTATACCCGTTCTCTGAGGTACGAACTGAGGGTGCCCAAACTGGTCTTTGGCATTGATTCGCCGGTTCTGGAGGGGCTGTAATCAACCAAAGAACCATTTGGGAAGACTGCGCCGCAGGGCAGGCTGTGGAGAACAGGAAAATCAGGAGCCAGCAAAATTGAAGTGTAGAAAGAGTTGGATGTGATGATGTGATCATGGGGCAGGGGTGAAGGTAGGCACATATAATTGCCAAAAAAGCGTGCACGAATCCAGTACGCACCGGACATTCTTGCTCGCACCCCAGCGGAGGTCGAAACCGCGTGCGGAGTGTCCTCAACTCGCTAAACTCGTCGTCGCGGAGCTGCGCGTCTTCCTCCTTGTCGCCGCCCAAATCCAACCTGCAGAGCGCCACGGAGCTTGCCGCGATCCAACCGCCGGTGTGGTGAGCCCACCGAACATCGAACGTATAAAACATATACCCAGATCTTCCAACTATGCCAAATTCCAACTATGCCAAACCCGCCAAAACAACAAAATTTGGCATGTTTGAAAGATCGAATGGTATAAAACACGACGTTCGTCCTCAAGTCTAAGACAACCCCCGTGCATAAAAACCGCTCCCGAAAGCATCATGATACGTGGACATTGTCTACCTATCCAGGATTGCACACGAACATGTGAAGTTATATTATGGCTTTTGTGGATCTTACGGGGTGGAGGAAAACTGGAAAGCCCTACACATTCCCCAAACACAAGTGCAAAAAGAAAGAGCAAAAGATGTCGGGAATTGCACAAAACAACGTTTTCAAACTCAAACATGTCAAACAATTTCAAGCAAGGCATGCACGCAGCGTTCGACAATCAATCTTCAACACTATACTGGCTGGTCAAACATCAGCTAGCTTCCACTAGAAATTCTCTGTTTTCCCAACAGGTCCGCAAGCTTCAAGATTCCAAACAAGAATCAATTCTGTGGCAATCCCAGACACCTAGACATCCTGCAGCAACTGGCAGCATGCGCAAGGGCCTAACCTGGTGTCTGTTGCTTCCACCCACAAGGCTCGAGCCGAAACGCCCAGTCGGAGCAACCCGACTCTGTCATGCAGGTCTGTCTCGACCGGACGTTGAGGATGTCCAACCCAGCAACCCACCAAGCCAAGGCCCTGTGCGAGCATCTGTTTCTTGAAACACCAGCTACAGGAAGCATACTAGCAAAGGGCATCGCTACTAGGAGCGATCGGACGCTACTAGGGGCTCCTGGCCTTACTACTAGGAGCAAAGACGCTACTAGCGACTCCTGGCCTTACTACTAGGAGCAAAGACGCTACTAGCAGCAAGAAGCTACAAAAGTGGCCCACATGTCATGCGACTTTCAAGCCGTCTCCAGCCCTCAAGACTTTCAGGGTGGCAACCCACCTCAACATAGTATGTATTCGGTCTATTGCATCAACAGTAACAATGGATGATGATGGTTAGGTTGCAGGCCTTGTTGACAAATAGTGATGTTCTTGTTTACTGACTGTTACAGATAATAGGACAAACCCAAGGGAACACCCTCTTCCACACCCCTCTGAACTTCGTTTGATGATATCCGCCGTGAAATACCCGATACACATTTTGAGTCGACGTCTTTTAGGACATCTCCCAAGATTTGTTGGTGTGCAAGTGAAACCTCCTAGCCTTGTGAGGGCGTGGTCTCATTAACCTCATTCTCCATCATTTGAAGCCCCCAAACAGTTGCGTGGTGCAAAGCCATGTGAATTACACTCCCGAAAACTAACATGGAAGCAAAGAATGGCCCCGAAAGGAAGACCATTAATTCCACTACAAACAGGTGGTGAACTCCACTTCCATGTTAGTTCCAGGGGGAGTAAAACAATCCAAGGTCCTTCAACAAGTGACACAGTGACACCCAAGGATCCGCTGCCAACACATGCTCAAGTGTATGTCTTGAAAGCTGAATGACACGTGGCTAGGGCGAGAAAAAGAACGGGTACTCTCTGACTCACTAACCTGGAAGTGGAAAATGACCCCTTGGAAGACTACTTTCCTTTTCAAACAGGAGGTCAACTACGTCCATGCTAGTGAGTCGGAGTGTACCATCATGTACTAGTACCATCCAAACCCACCTGCGGAAGGAGAAACAATCATAAACCTCCAGATGCCCTAGGAGTAATAATAAGGCGTTCTTTCTTGTCACACATTTTTGAACACACAGAACTGCCGCCTGCATCCGCCTGCCCTGGAAAAATATCATGGGCATGCATTGGACACTGTCCATGGGCCCTATGACAAATGATGTTCCTCAAAACATATCAAAACTAATAAGTATCCAAATCAGTGAGTTTGTGTTGAAGGCCTGTGAGAGTGCTCCAAGTGCCACCAAAAGAACATGGTCCAAAAGGTGCAAAAGACACGAGATGTCCAAAAGGATCCAAAGTGAGTGCTATGAATGAAAGTGGTTGAGATTCTTTTCTTGTGCCGCTATGGGCGCACCGCATCGGGCAACAGCTCTTGATGGTCAGCTCTGTTCGGGTGCTTCATCCCGTCGGAACACCCCATGGACGAGGTCCGGAGCGCGCAAAGGCATGGGGCGCGGATTTGTTGCAACATGAGGGTTTCTTTGGGTGTTTTTTCGAGGTGTTCAAGGTATATACTAGGAACACATATGGAAACAAATCAGAGCCGGACAGGTTCACCAAAAGAACTCCTGATGCTATTCGATAGACATTTCCCAAAACATCCAGGCAAACCACGAACGTTCGCTGGGAGTCCCAGTGGTGCCAAACACAATGACCGGACCGTAGAGGTAAAAACCCTGGTTTGTGGTGGCAACTGGGATCTGCTGAGTCTTACTTCCGCTGGAAAAGCAGGATTTCTTCTCCCAACAACCACGACTGCGAAGTGTCTCCTTCTTTTGGGGGGCTCGCCGAATTTCCAAACACGGACGCCTCAAAAAACAGTCAGCTTAAACCATATCACATCGCCTGCCAAGCCCGTGAAACGGCGGGGCCCTCTCCTTTGTTGCGCTTCTGGAAGGCCTCTTTGGCCTTGGCTTCCATGTGGGCCTTGAAAATGCCTGGGCGACCGAGTGAGGACTGACGAAGCTGCGAGCTTTCACACCAGGAGTTTCAAAGGGTTCTATCCATGGAGGGTTCTATCCATGGAGGTTGGGGGGTGCCCAAAGCATCTGAAACAACCACCCCTTTGTGACCCCATCCATGCAAACTCTTCCAACATGGAATGGTCTGGGGTGCCCAAAAGGCGCAAGCATACCAAGCTGCATGTGTTGTATGTTTTGGTCTGGATGTCACACCAACAGGGTCGGAACTCCATGCTCCAGCCACTTAGACCTTCAGGTGAATGGTGCTTCTTCCCCAGACCCTCATGACCTCCAGACCCCCCATTTGCGTTCCGGAACTGACCAACTCCGGCCAAGTCCTACAGAAATCATGACCTATTGAAACCAGCTGCTTGTCCTACAGGATCTGTAAATCAGGCTTTCCCAGATCACCCAGGCAAGCAAAAAGTCTTTGCTGATGAGACCCGGTGAGGTCTCGTCCTGCACCGGTGTCACCCAGACCACCCGAAGAAATACTGAACCCATCGCCCACCAGCTGAAGCAGCTGCATCGCGCTTGCTCAAACACTCCATGTATGGCATACAACATTATGAACACCCCAATGATGATTTCAATTGACTATAACACAATTAGATCATCATTGGGTTGTTTACCATTGAATTATCTATAATGCGTACATTGACCCTTGAAATATCTGGACATCAACCACCCCCGGAGTCTCGGCCGAGACTCCTGGGAGTCTGGGAGACGCCAGCCATTTCCGGAGTCGCTACGCCACGGAAGAAGACTGACCTCCATCCCTCATTCACCCATTCACCCCTCAAATCCCTCCTTCATTTTTTTGTCTCCTCTTTTGGAGTCATACTACATCTTAACCACAAAGGGATATGCTGAGAAATCCTTCCATCATGCCACTGAATCTCCCAATGTCACCACACGACATACCCCCGCCTTTGCGGAGCGTATGGACCCTGAGAAGAAAAACCCATCGTTTCGCCCTTGTTCCTTCTACATCCTTCTACAACCCAGTGGTTTTCTGGATCCATGTGCCTCTGCAGGGCCGATTCAAACCAAAAAAACACCTCCGCGACGGCATCCAACGGCTCTTGGTGCTTGGCTCTTGGTGCTCGGCGGCTGCGCAGGCTCCGCAGGCAGCTGCTTTGTGGGCTTGGACTTTGTGGAGGTCGTCGACCGTGGCGTGTCCTGGTGCAAAGAGATGGGTCTGATCCAGCTGATGGTGCTTTTCGAGTCAAGGAGCAAGTGAAGAAAGTAGTCAGGGGGCTTGAAGATGAGGATACACACGGATCATATTAATATACTAACTACATAAATATCTGGATGGTTGTTTCTGACTCAATTGAATAGCATTACAGGATAATATGATAATACAAGTATAAAAGGTTGTACATAAAAAGTCACTGAAACCGCCACCCACACACCAGGGAAATTATATGCAAACATCGATATCCTTAGGTGACTACCATTATTGTGACTTCACCGCAAAACGGCGTGTCAAAGGAGACGCCCCCAAAAAACGAATTCTGAGCTCATAGGTGCAATTGTGCATCTCAATCGGAGCTCCCAATCCCATTAACTTGGGCGCTTGGGCTCCGCTCACACACCCTTCCCGACACCGCCTCGCCGCTGCTATGGACGGACTTGGCATCGCTCTTGGCGTCGCTGGGGCGTCGTGACTTGTTGGACTTGGAGGACTTCACGGACTTGGCCTCCGACGGCCGCCGCTCGTCCACCAAGGGCCGCGTCCTAAGCGCTTTTCAGCTCCCAGGATTTGCTGATATCTGATAGCTCTGGTGTGACAAGAACAAGGCGCATACCTAAATAGTATATATCATAGTATAGATAGTCGATAGTGCTAAGTGCATCTAAGATCATCTAAGTACCGTGTATTTGTGGACTTGGAGGGTCCAGTCAAGGAAGCCACCTCTTGAACAACTGAAAAATAGAAAAAATCAATCTTTCTGCCAAGTTGCTCCACCGCCATCAGCTGTGACAAGGGTGATAAAGGCGTCTGGGGCGGCAAAGGCGTCTCCGGACGGCTCTTGCGTTGTTCGAAGATTGAGAGGTCCAAGCCGGCACCTGGAGCGGTTGAAGCGTGTCGTCTCTTCATCTGGTGGAGGGGGGTCGAAGCCTCTCTTGGGCTCCAACAACCTCCAAGAACAAAAGTTGTTTGGGGCGAGTGCCAGGAGGGCCTACCTACCTTCTGAGGAGGTGGTTGCCCAATGGTCGGACTAGAAGAAACCAATTTGGTCCTCTGTTGGTCCTCCTGCTTCTACAAGGTCTCTTGCATGATAGGATTATTTGATGTTGGTCCTCCTGGTCCGACACGTGGACCATCAAGGAAACTCGACCATTGACCATCGTTCGGACCCAGGTTGGCATCCTGGAACGTTGGGAGAGTACCATCAATTGGTATTGGTACACTTTAAAAAGATCCCAAAAAAGGTGCTGAAGAGTAACAGTGAAGGTCCAGTCATCCAGCCTTTTGTCCGCAAATTGGCCAACAAATGTTTTAGCACCGAGAACCCAGCCCAAGCCGGCTGGTTTAGAAAGATGATGAAAACGGGTTTCAAAGCCAAGGCTGACAACTCGCTGAAACTCGCATCGCATGCTGAACCCCTTTCGTTCAACCCGACTCCAGGGACTCAATAGGACCCCTGATGACCTGGGCACTCCGCCCACACGGCGTCCGCACTCGTGGAAAAAAAAACAGGGACCCAATAGGACCCCAAAAAGCTCGGAAGCTCGGACCACCAACCAGTGCCCACAACACCAAAACCACACCTCCAACCCCACCACTCGCAGGACCTCGCATCTTCCTGTCTCACCGTGTCGACGTGTCTTCCTACGGGTCCGGAACGGTAGACTCTGTGATTCTTTTTCAACCCCCCAGAGAT